TACTTAAATAGTTAAACCCCTTAAATTCCAATTCTGAGAAAAACGTATATTTTGGTCAAAGTTTTTGAAAGGTATAAGACTTACATTTTTGGTGGTTTTGGGCCAAAAGTTAGATTTTGCTGAAAATCACAGTATGGGTACTCCTGAGCTTGCTGATAATGAATATGTGGTCCACGATTCGATTGCAGAGTAATTAGTGACCAAAATAACCCTTGAAAGATTTTACTGACATATTTCAATGCTAATCACTCATCAACTATGGAAATTGTATCATAGAAAATGGGAAATATCTACTTTCCGGGAAAGTTGGTTATCTACTTTCCCGAAAAGTAGCTTTTTCTACGTTTCGGGAAAGTGGATTATCGACTTTTCGGGGAAGTAGATTATCGACTTTTTGTGAAATATTACCTAATTTTACGGAGTAGATTATCATAGAAAACGGGAAATTTGTGTCATAGAAAATGGGAAATGTATAATATGGACACGAAGTAGTACCTTAAGCTGTGTATTCTTATATTACTCTATTAATTATGTATAGTAAAGTATTACAGAACATGTATTGATCCTATGTAATATTTCCATTTATTATGCACCATGTTATGTATGTGAATTATCATATTTACATATTATGTATTCAGCTTGTGAATGCTGGCATCTGTACATGCCAGCGCGGAGTAATACAGCGAGTTGAGATCGCTAGTCCTTATGGTGAGGAAGCCCTCTGTCTATTGTTCCCTCTGTATATCTCCCGTACGAGAATAAGAACCTATTTTCAAGATAACAAGTGTTTCTGTATACCCTCAGTAGTGTAGAACATTTTGGGGGTACCAAAGACAAACAGAGGAAATATCTACTTTCCGGGAAAGTAGATTATCGACTTTTCGGGGAAGTAGATTATCGACTTTTTGTGCAATATTATCTAATTTTACGAAGTAGATTATCATAGAAAACGGGAAATTTGTATCATAGAAAATGGGAAATATCTACTTTCCGGGAAAGTTGGCTATCTACTTTCCCGAAAAGTAGATTTTTCTACTTTTCGTGAAAGTAGATTATCGACTTTTCGAGGAAGTAGATTATCGATTTTTTTTCAATTACCAAATTTTGCGAAGTAGATTATCATAGAAAACGGGAAATTTGTATCATAGAAAATGGGAAATATCTACTTTCCGGGAAAGTTGGTTGTCTACTTTTCCGAAAAGTAAATTTTCTACTTTTCGGGAAAGTAGATTATCGACTTTTCGGGAAAGTAGATATTGCATTTTTGTGAAATATTACCTAATTTTTTCCAATTAGATTATCATAGAAAACGGGAAATTTGTATCATAGAAAATGGGAAATATCTACTTTCCGGGAAAGTTGGTTATCTACTTTCCCGAAAAGTAGATTTTTCTACTTTTCAGGAAAGTAGATTATCGACTTTTTGGGGAAGTAAATTATCGACTTTTTGTGAAATATTACCTAATTTTGCAAAGTAGACTATCATAGAAAACGGGAAACTTCTGGGAAAAGGATTATCTACTTTCGAAAAGTATTTTTCTACTTTCAGTGATTATCGACTTTTTGGAGTAAATTATCGACTTTTTGTGAAATATTACCTAATTTTGCAAAGTAGATTATCATAGAAAACGGAAAATTTGTATCAGAAAATGGGAAATATCTACTTTCGGGAAGTTGGTTATCTACTTCCCGAAAAGTAGATTTTTGTGACTGTTTTATCGACTTTTGTATCATTTTAATATTACCTACCTGCAGATTATCATAGAAAACGGGAAATTTGTACTATAGAAAATGGGAAATATCATTCTCTGAAAGTTGGTTATCTACTTTCTGAAAAGTAGATTTTTCATTGAAGTAGATTTTTTCTACTTTTTGGGAAAGTAGATAACCAACTTTCCGGAAAGTAGATATTTCATTTTATGATACAAATTTCTGGTTTCTATGATAATCATTTCTAGAAAAATTAGGTAATATTTCTCAAAAAGTCGATAATCTACTTCCCCAAAAGTCGATAACTACTTTCCTAAAAGTAGAAAAATTCATTTTCGGAAAGTAGATAACCAACTTTCCCGGAAAGTAGATATTTCCCATTTTCTATGATACAAATTTCCCGTTTCTATGATAATCTACTTAGAAAAATTAGGTAATATTTCTCAAAAAGTCGATAATCTACTTCAAAAAGTCGATAATCTACTTTCCTGAAAGTAGGAACTACTTTTCGGGAAAGTAGATAACCAACTTTCCGGAAAGTAGATATTTCCCATTTTCTATGATACAAATTTCCTGTTTTTCTGATAATCTACTTAGAAAAAATTAGGTAATATTTCTCAAAAGTCATAATTCTACTTCCCAAAAGTCGATAATCTACTTCGAAAAGTAGAAAAATCTACTGGAAAGTAGATAACCAACTTTCCCGGAAAGTAGATATTTCCCATTTTCATGATACAAATTTCCTGTTTCTATGATAACTACTTAGAAAATTAGGTAATATTTCAAAAGTCGATAATCTACTTCCCAAAACGTCGATAATCTACTTTCCTGAAAGTAGAAAATCTACTTTCGGGAAAGTAGATAACCAACTTTCCCGAAAGTAGATATTTCCCATTTTATGATAAATTTATGATAATCTACTTAAAAATTAGGTAATATTTCAAAAAGTCGATAATCTACTTCAAAAAGTCGATAATCTACTTTCTGAAAGTAGTGTTCTATTCGGGAAAGTAGATAACCAACTTTCGGAAAGTAGATATTTCCCATTTTCTATGATACAAATTTCCTGTTTTCTATGATAATCTACTTAGAAAAATTAGGTAATATTTCAAAAGTCGATAATCTACTTCCTAAAAAGTCGATAATCTATTTTAGAAAAATCACTTTCGGGAAAGTAGATAACCAACTTTCCGGAAAGTAGATATTTCCCATTTTCTATGATACAAATTTCCCGTTTTCTATGATAATCTACTTAGAAAAATTAGGTAATATTTCTCAAAAGTCGATAGTCTACTTCCCAAAAGTCGATAATCTACTTCCTGAAAATAGAAGAATCTACTTTCGGGAAAGTAGATAACCAACTTTCCCGGAAAGTAGATATTTCCCATTTTTTATGATACAAATTTCCCGTTTTCTATGATAATCTACTTAGAAAAATTAGGTAATATTTCTCAAAAAGTCGATAATCTACTTCCCTAAAAAGTCGATAATCTACTTTCCTGAAAAGTAGAAAAATCTACTTTTCGGGAAAGTAGATAACCAACTTTCCCGGAAAGTAGATATTTCCCATTTTCTATGATACAAATTTCCCGTTTTCTATGATAATCTACTTAGAAAAATTAGGTAATATTTCTCAAAAAGTCGATAGTCTACTTCCCCAAAAAGTCGATAATCTACTTTCCCGAAAAATAGAAGAATCTACTTTTCGGGAAAGTAGATAACCAACTTTCCCGGAAAGTAGATATTTCCCATTTTTTATGATACAAATTTCCCGTTTTCTATGATAATCTACTTAGAAAAATTAGGTAATATTTCTCAAAAAGTCGATAATCTACTTCCCTAAAAAGTCGATAATCTACTTTCCTGAAAAGTAGAAAAATCTACTTTTCGGGAAAGTAGATAACCAACTTTCCCGGAAAGTAGATATTTCCCATTTTCTATGATACAAATTTCCCGTTTTCTATGATAATCTACTTAGAAAAATTAGGTAATATTTCTCAAAAAGTCGATAATCTAATTTCCCGAAAACTTGAAAATCTACTTTTTGGGAAAATAGGTAACCAACTTTCCCGGAAAGTAGATATTTCCCATTTTCTATGATACAAATTTCCATAGTTGATGAGTGGTTAGCATTGAAAAATGTCAGTAAAATCTTTCAAGGGTCATTTTGGCCGCTAATTACTCTGAAATCGAATCGTGGACCACATATTCATAATCAGCAAGCTCAGGAGCACCACCCCCCTAGGAGGTCTCCTGGTGGCGCCGCCGTCACTGAGAAGATCCCTGGGGGCGTCGCCGTCCTGCGAGGCTCCCAGGGGACGCCGCCGTCCCTAAGAGAGCTTTTGGGGGTGCCAGACCTGTAGGACACCTGGGTGCAGTAGTTTTTGTGCTATTTAGAACTCTGGGAGATGCAACGTTAAGTAAATACACCGCTCTTCACATTTCCAGTAACATTGCATTCTGAAGAAGGTAGAGGAGAATAATTTCCAACAGGACAACATAAGTTGTGGTGTTGTGTTGACTGACAGCTTTCTTCTCCTATTGGCTGTAATTTAGTGGGTTAAAAGAATAGACCACCAATCATAGTTCAGTAAGGGACTGCTGGAAGTATGTAATATATATGACACAACGATCAAGTATGCCATAGGGCCCCTTGGGATCCTTGGTAGGGTCCATACGGACGCCGCCGTTTCGGGAAAGGTCCCTGAATGGCTCTACCACCCCTGGAGGGGTCCTTGGGTGTGTCACCTTCCCTGGGACTGTGCCTGGGGGCTCCGCCGCCATTGCGAGGGTCCCTGGGAAGCTACGTGGGGCGCCGATGTCCCTGGGAGTGTCCCTGGTGGCTCCATTACCTTTAGGAGGATCCTGGGGGCTCCGCCGCTTCTGAATGGGCCCATGGAGGCACAACTACCCTCCGCCCCTTGGAAGGGCTCTTAGGGGCACTGCCTCCCCTGAGTGGGACCATGGGAACGCCACCACCCCTGGGAGGGCCCCTTGGGGCGCCACCTCCCCTGGGAGAGCTCCTGGGGGCATCGCCGTCCCTAAGAGAGCCCCTGGAGGCAACACCGCTCCTGAGAGGGTTCCTAGGGGCATCGCCGTCACTGAGAAGGTCCCTGGGGGCGCGGCCACGCCTGGGAGGGTAATGAGGGTGCTGTCGCCCCTGGGAAGGTTCCTGTGGGCGCCGCCGTCCCTAGGAGAGCTTTTGGGGGTGACAGACCTGTAGGACCCCTGGGTGCAGTAGTTTTTGTGCTATTTAGACGCTGGTGCGACCCCTTAGAGCGCCCCCATCTCTAGGAGAGCCTCTGGGGGCGCTGCAGTCCAGGGTGGGCCCCTGGGGGGGTCTCCGGTCTTGGGAGGGCCAATGGGAGTGCCGCATCCCTGGTTGGGCCCCTGAGGGCGTCGCCGCCCCTAGGAGGACTTCTGGGAGCGTGGCAGTCCCTGGGAGAGCCTCTGGGGGCGCCAACGCCCCTGGCAGGGCCCCTAAAGGGGCCGCCGTCTCTGGAAGGGCCCCTGAGAGCACCACTGTTCCTAGGAGAGCCCCTGGAGGTGCTAGCGCCCCTGACAGGGCACCTGGTAGCGCTAGCGTCCTGGGAGGGCCCCTGGCAAGTCCGTTGGAAGCGCCACCATCCCTGGGAGGGTCTCTGGGTGCGCCACTGCCCTTGGGAGGGTCCCTGGGAGTCCCCTGGGAGTATCTCTGTCCCTGGGAGATCCCCTGGAGGTCCCAGCGCCCCTGGCAGGGCCTTTGGGATCACTGCCTTCCCTGAGAGGGAACCTGGTGGCGCCCCCAAAGGCCCTCTCAGAGGCGGTGGCGCATTCAGGGACCGTGCCAGGGGCGATGGCGCTCCAAGAGTTGTCTCAGGGACGGCAGTACCCCAAGGAGCCCTGCCAGGGGCGGTGGCGCCCCCAGGGGCCCAGCCAGGGACGCTGGCGTTGACCCCTTGGGGCGCACCCATCTCTCGGAGAGCCCCTGGGGGCGTCGCAGTCCACAGGAGGGCCCCTGGGGGCGTTGCCGTCCTGAGTGGTCCCTGGAGGCTCCCCCGATCTTGGGAGTGCCCCTGGGAGCGCCCTGTCCCTGGGAGGGCCCTTGGGAGCGCCGCTGTCTCTGGGAGAGCCCCTGTGGGCGCCAACGCCCCTGACAGGGCCCCTCGGATCAACCCTGTCCCTCGGAGGGACTCTGAGGGCGAAGTATTAGAGAATGCCTGTAGAGTTGAAAATGGTAATTTTGAGAGTAAATGTCAGAGTAGGAAGCTTCTGTATGATAAGAAAGCGAGAGAAAAAGTACAGCGCCTTCCCGACTTACGACGGGGTTAAGGACCCAAATCCAGGTCATAAGTCGAAATGGTCGTAAGTTGAAAATGCTTAAATTATGCATACAAAACTCTCACTTTTAAGCTTGCCAGCCATTTTAAAGTGAATTACAAATGAAAAGTTTGTCTGTGTACTGACGTTGGGACTTGAAAATACGTAATTTGACAAAATTTTGGTATGACTGAGGCAGGTCGTAAGTGCGAGTGGTTGTGAGTCGAATAGGTCGTAAGTCGGGGAGGAGCTGTATTGGACATTGGTCAACATGTACAGTAATAGTGCGAAACCTTCATGGAAAGGGAAGGAGTAAAATCCAGGACAACTGGTATGATGATATAAATGTGATATCCCATGTGTTGAATGAGGAAGGAGATGGGGCCTCAAAGGTAATACACCACATTGCATTTGAGGGCAGCCCCAAAGGAAGCTGATGGCTCAGATGTGACAGATAGCTATGATGGTGATGATGACGATGCCAGTTGCCCGGTGGGGGACCCACATCCTAACAGTAGTGAAAAGTCTAGGAACGAGGTAGACACATAGTTCTAATGAGGACCTGGACCCCGTAGCAGATAGTATTAGTAGCAGTAGTGAGGAAAAGTCTCAAGGTGCCCTTGCAATCCATAGAAGTAAAAAGAGCTACGGCAGGCAAACACTCCAATATGTTTAGGTTACCTAAATCGACAATCAAAAGTATCTTGGTGCTATAGATTTAAGTTCCACATTGTTAGCTCCTACTGCTCAACGCCTCAGAATGTTAGGTCATTTATTTTCTTTATTCCCGGTATCATGGGGACCATGACAGGATTAAGTGGGGGCATATGTGGTAGGAAGAACTCCAGAGACAACTATTTTGTAATTTAGAGTACAGTATAGTCTGCATTTACGCGGTCAATTGAACCCGTGGGGGTCGGAGGTCTGCGTAAAACGAGAAACATGTAAACGAAATAACAGAACATATGGGATTAATTGAAATAGAGACTGGGCCGACCCCCAAACTCCACTTTTTCCGACACAATACGTACGTTGTAGTAAAAATAACATCTTAATTTTATGATGGATGCACACATAATTAATATTTAAGAGAAATATCAATAATATTAGGTTTTTTAACACTTACGTTAGTAGAAAAGCTGGATCGGCACACGTGGATGGCGGCTGGTTCCGAGACAGAGGGCAGATTGGTTGCCCTCCGGTGAATCACTTTCACTTTCACTACTCGCAGAGGTTTGCAGGGCCTCCCAGAGAAACCTCTCAAAGTCCATATCGTCACTATCACTATCACTGACTTGGTCTGGCTGTGGTTGTGCTGGGTTGCGGGCGAGGAAGTCCTCAATACTACGTTGACGACTAGCATTGATGTTGTCAAGATAGATCTGGATATACGGCTCCATAAATTTCGTCAGATGGTTATTAGACGCTTCATACCGATGCTTGTCTGGGTCGTTGTTAAGGATGAGCTAAATTTTCTCCCCCAACGCGATGATTTCCTTCACACAATCATGGCTTGGTCCAGGTAATTCAGTGTTTTTCTCTGGTGGTGGGGGTCCCGCGGAAGCCATTGTGAGTTGTGAGGGGAATAGCGGGCACAAGAGAAAACTGTATACGCGGACTGAGAACGATGACACAGGCCCTGCTAGGTCAGCGACTTCTACCCTCTGGTGGCAGGGCACGTCATGTTACATTAGACCAATCACAGCTAGCGGCGGAGGGAATGCGTGGGTGGTAAGGATGCGTGGCCCAATCACAGTCCGATACGTCATATGACGTCACTGATAACGCAACAGCGACATACTGCGCAACCTTACTCGCGCCGCTTGTGGTCGCCTGGGCCACTTGAATCCAAAATGGCGCAGCGCGTCTGGACTCGCCGTGTAAATGACCAAATTTACCGCATAATTAAAGCATTTCAATTCTGGCAAGGCACCGCGTAAATGACCAAACGCATTAACCAAAACCGCGTAAATCCAGACTACGTGTATACTGTATTTTTTAATATAGATATGCATTTTTGTATCTCCTGATGAGGAAAAAAAGTATATTTTGTGGATTCGAAATAGGGTTTGCTACCAGCAAAGGCAGCCCGACGCAAGGAAAGGATGCTACTTTTTTTACGTTACACGCTAACAGAGCCCAGCAACAGGTGTGCACCAAGTATTTTTAACTATTAGTGTGTTTGATAGGTTGAGCATAATGAGTGTTATATGAAGAATGTGATGAATGCATGGAGGTAGTTTGTAAGCCAGAACAAGGCTAATAAAGGCATTACTCTACAGACATTCATCCCCCGCCACCCCTGAATAAGTCGGAGCCAAGCGTCCACCACTTATTATGCTGGTGGGTTAGGTTTATTGTTATGTACTGTTAATTTGCTACTATTATGTTGTGCCAATATGTGATTATGACAACAGTTGATGCTTATTTTGTATGTACAATGTATAATGACTAGTTATGTCTGATCTAGGTCCCAGACTTTCCTTCCTTAGGTGATTTCTACTGTAAATAAAGGAGAGAAAATTACAAGTGTTTGTCCCAGTGCCGGATTTAGACCTGTGGAGGCCCATGGGCAGCCTCTTTGTGGAGGCCCCACTCATTATAACTACCCAAGAGGGTGGGGTGGCGAGTGAAGCGAGCTTAAACATCTGTGAGTTCCGGGGGGAGAGGGGGGGGGTTTCCCCCTGGGAAAATTTTGAAATTTGAACACTTCTTTGGAGAATTTTGAAGCCATGATGGAATAGATAAACATGAATTTTAAAGAATGAAAATAAAAATAATCCAAATGAATAAACAAATAAATAAAACATTGTAATATGTAGAGGCCCCCAGATTGTGGAGGCCCCTGGGCAGCTGCCCACATTGCCCACTCCTGAATCCGGCCCTGGTTAGTCCTATCCCTGTTATGGGAGCCCGCTGCTCTGTTCTTGCTACACAGGTATAGATACATTCTGGAACCAGGACATGCCGAGTACAATATTTGTCAACAGTGCATAACAGGCCAATCAGTAGCAAAGAGGAAAAGTAAAGTACTGTTCAGATGTTAAATAACCTTACAAACATGAAAATTTTAGAGAAAATTTCCCAATGGTATTATTTTTACGATGGACCAGTTTACTTTTCTCATCTTTTGGTTAAAAATTTGATAATGAAATCATACAACAGTTCAGTAATCTATTTTATTTACAAAATATGTACAGCTTTGGACAAGTTTGCATGTAAATCAAAATGAGGGTTAGCTCATGAAGATCGTATAAAAATTCTAAAACTTCTGTGAAAAGCTTGCACAAGGCCAAGACAAAAATATGGTAATGTGACTTCTAAAACAGCAAGCATAGCATTATGAGGGGGTTTAAGTTTCAAAAAGCACTGTCCTTGTGGGTCTAAAGTTTAAACTATTTGTCAAATCACTGCAAATTAACTTAAAACAAGGTTTACACTTCATTAAATTCAGTACAGAACTTTAGTACAGTAAATAATAACAACTAATGAACTTTCCTTTATTCCTTCCTGGATTAACAAAGTCAAAGTATTTTTATTAAAATAACACAACTACACAATACAGTACTAGGACATGAGCTAAGAGAGCATACAGATTACTATATGAAAAATGATACAGTACAGGTATCCCCCATTAATTAGCGATTCATATTTTAGCAACATTTTACTTTATCCCATTTTTCTTAAGTTATCGAAAAACCTCATAAACTGGCAAGTGCTCATTTGAATTTCTCATATGGCAATAAATGGTTGGGCTTACTGGTCACTTACATGTGTTTTCTTAAACTTATTGGGATATAAAGATCAGCCAAGTACTGAGAAGAAGGACAGCACAAGAACATAACGTACTGTATTTCCTTCCTAGAAGTGCACCATCATGACCACTCAAACAAGTCATTAATGAACTCCAGCCTTCTACTAGTTTTGCATGTATCTGGAAAGAACTAAAATCTTCATCTGAAGATGAACCAGAAAACCTCTCTCTCTCCTGACCACACCATCAAACAAAAAAAACATGGTGCGCACTCTAAACATCCGAACCGGAACAGACGTTACCTCCCTTATGCATTCAAATGACATCTTGTTTTAGTGAGTACTATATGCAGTACAGTACTTAATTTTCTATGATTTGCTTATGTTATTACTTTTTGCAATAAATTATTAAGAAATGCATAAGAGAATTACTGTATGCAGCATTTTTAATAAAAAAATTATGAAAAAATAGGTTTGAGGCAAAAATATGTTCAAATTTGGCCAATAATAAACAGATATAGAGTTTTCCATGATGAAATTATGTTCACGTTAACAACTTTGAAAGATTCAAAGGTGTTTTCAAATGCATCAATAACTTACAAGAGATATTTGTACTGTATAACAACCAGTTGCCCTCCAAAATATCATACTTTAAATAACTTTATATAATGGAGAGTATTGTTTGTGATTTACAGTATATTACAAGGTGATAATAAGGATACATAAAGCAACTACTACTCTATTTGCATCTGGATTATCAATAATCATTTGCATCAGCTTCATGTTTTGGACAGAGGTATGACAGATGTAATGATGCTTATTTTCTTGGAAACAACCACAAATGTGATAATGAACACTTTCTGACAGGTATGCTCAGGATTTGAATGTAATTAAATAGGAGATGAATTAAATTATGTCACTTGCTGCATACACAAATTACGTACCTGTACATCACGCATTCACACAGTACCTGGTGTTCAGTGCTCTACTACACCACATGCATGTACACATTCATTATGTTAGAAAAAGCATTCACTTCACTTACCATTTACCAAAATTGTAAAACCATACTGAGTTCCATTCCAAAAGTGTAATTAATTTTACATCTTACTTCATTTGGTGGTAAAATTAAATGTGTGAGGTTAAATGCCTTATATCAAGGACTGGGTCACAGAAAATAAGGAAGAGTTGCCTGCTCTTCTTATATGCTACATGACAAAAGTCCACCATTTATCTCGGACAGTTATTAATTATTTATCATGTTATTCATTAACATAATGATCAATAATCATGTGAAAATTCTGATTAGAATGCCACTCTTTGTACAAAATCCAAATAAATCCAGTTTTAGCTTTGAGAGTAATAACTACAGTATCCAATTTGCTTTTTTTTATCTATTAAAGGCTTAATTTAAAATATTACATAGCTGATGCTTCTAGTAAGGAAGTCTGCTAACTAGTCATAAACCTAACAAAAGCATGATATTTGGTAACTTCAGATCCACAGTGAGAAAAGTACAGTTCAGTATTTAACTGCAGAGAACCACATTTTTTAAACTCCTTAAAACATGACCCTACTTTCATAATTATAACATGGGAGGAAAGCCATCTGATAAAGTACCAGAATTTTGAACAAACACTTTTCACACGAGTCAGGGCAGTCGTCCCTAACCTGTAGTTCGTGGCACACGTGGAACCATATTATGGAGCCCACAGGGGTTTATTAGAAAATTGTGGATTATTTGGAATTATTTGTAAGAGTGAAATGAATAAAAATATGTAATAACCTGATTCAACTTTACAGTTTCAGAGAGAGAGAGAGAGGAACTGCACGTTTGTCCCGAGTCTGTCGTGTACAGGACGTGTGTACGTATTTACCCCAGGAACTGTATGTACCAGTACAGTAACTGGATTATCATACACCAAAATCTTGGATTTTGACAAATATTATTACATATGATATACCTTTCACTTATTTGATAAAATTTGTGTGGTTCACAATAAACCTACTGCATTAAAAAAATACTCTCCCAAAATTCCAAATCTAAGCATTCCAGGTATACAAAATTATAGTACTTAGTTAACTAAACAGAGCAATACATAGACTTAATGATCAGCTTTCATCTCATTGCACAATTTACAAATCTTTTCAACACTTTCACCTATGAGGTTTATGACCAGTTTCTTGGTTCCAACAGAATGGTGATTTATATTACTTTATCTGTAACAGTGATGGAAATTTGGAGATTTAGAAAAATAGAGACATATCATCAGTGGATTTTTATCTTCAAAATGCAAGAAATTTAAAGGTGGAAGAAAAAATCCCAAAGGATCCCTTAGTCAGTTAGCTAAAGTAACCTTGACCTTAGTTCCCGTGACTTAAAATTATGTACTGCAGTAATGATGAGGCCCAACTAATTTTAAATCAATCCATCCAAACCTGTAGGGTAGAGACAAAGTTACATTAACAAGCTGCTTTGGGTAAACACAAACACCCACAGACAGACACTTGAGATAGGTCATTACTCCTTGGCCATACTGAATGAGGGGTACAAAGGAGAGGAAGAATTGTTTTAAAGTCCTGTTACATTATGCAACTAATAACAGCTTCACATCAAGTGTAGGCCAGTATATCCTGTTTTATTCTTATATAAAATTGAGCACTTCAGTAATATCACTGCCTGCATGAAATTGAAGGAAATAAAAATTATCTCTGGATAACTTATAGCTGTTGTTCTTGTAATTGAGATGTCCTTTCTTTAACTCAAGTGTGAATTAAAATGATAAAAGAGTTATATATCTTAAAAACATTATGTAAAGCAAATAACAGAGTAAGGAATGAAGAAATAGCAAGATAAAACACAGAAAATTGCCTTTGTCATCTATAGCTTTTTCCCATTAAAAAAAAAAAGACAATGAAAAAGGTTTACATAAAGGAATTGAAATTTATCAAAATAAGGCTTTTAATTATACCTGAAATGTAAGCAATATACAATCCATAGATGAAAGCCTTTTTGCTGTTATTTCATGTAGAGTTCAAAGCTCATGATAAACAGATGCTTCATTAAGAGCAGTGCTAGTCACAATTTTCATTAACAGAACATTGCTAATTAGTAACCTAGGAGTGTTATAGTAAGCCATTAAAAAGCGAAGTTACAGTTAAATGAGTGCATAGTTCACATATTTACACAAAGGGGATCTACAGTATACTAGCATAGGGCTCTAATCGTATTTCCATCCCCAATGTGTTATTTAACATGCATTTGACTACACATGCTTGAAGGAATTAACTGCTATTGAATGCATAGCTAATCACTCTGGCTAGTGAAAGACCTCACACTAAACTAATCCTTCTTCCCTGTGACCATGCAAAGTATGTTAGTTCTTTTTATCCGTCTATCCAGACATGCCAATAACTTCTTGTGTCATTGTATTAATTACATATATACTATATTATGCAGATATTAACAGATGTGTCACTGTGTGTAAGTATGCAAACAAGTATCTCCAAACATATTTTCTCCCACTTTCACTTCAAATAAGAAATATTGTGTAACAAAAAATTAATTAGGGTTTTATCAAATTACAAGATCTGTTTCCCATGTACGTATTTATTTTTAAGTAGGATATAAGTGAAGGATCACTTAATGTCTATCCAAGCTTAAAACACACACACACACACACACACACACACACACACACACACACATACATATACAGTACATGCACCTTGAATGGTAACCATAACTTTGGACATACTGTACATCAGATAGAAACCTAAAATCATTATGATTAAATGCTAATGTTACAAATAAATATTTATTAAATCATATAAATTATTACCTATAATAAAGCCTGAAAATGCCCACCCCCATGTTGGATCCACAAATTTGCTCTTCTCAGCAAGTTTTCCTATACAGACTACAGTAAGGTCCTACTGAACCCAATGAATGAGAATTTAGTTTAACGAGCAGTATTTTAGAGTATAAAAATTCAATGACTGAACTCGAATTCAATTTAACGAGCAAATTTCCAAGTGATCCAGATCATATTATCATTCATGGGGTCAGGCAAGTTATCCTCTATCATTGGTTGAGCTGCCAGTAAGCCTAGATAACTTGGTAGCATCTGTTTATCATCATGTTCTTTATGCTGTGAAATGTGCATCAGTTAACTCGTTTTTCATTACTTTAATGATTAAATCCACCAACAGTGAGTCCAAAGAAGACAGCAGCACTATGAGCCACTGTAAAAATAAAGAGAAAGACCATCGCCTTGAGGCAAAACTGGGTCAACTACAGCAACTGGACTCTGGTGAAAAAGTGCAGGATATCATCTCCGTCTCTTGGATCACCACAGCCATCTACAAGTGGAGTCACAACATTTAAGAGGAAGTATTCATTGTCCCAAGTTGAATCCTTAGATGGAGAAAGAGATGATGATGCCTCTGTCTGCTTTAATTCACAAAGACTATGTGAATTTATTACAAAGACCATGTCCTTCAAATAAAAACATATATCCATGAATCAAGGTGGCCAGAATGGCTTAGACAAAATGTACTGCCAAGTGAGGTTATGACACCCTCCTGTTGATAACTTCCCTGTGCCTTTTCATCTTTTGTAAGGTGCCCTTAAAAATTCACAAATTATTTTCATGTATGTACTGTACAGTATTTAAAAAAAATAGTATCTGCCAGGATGGGTGCAATGACTTCCAAAATGCTACATGCAATTCATGATGTCGAGGGAAGGTTGGTAAGCATGGCTTTGTGGTATACTGATCCCACTACACTTGGTAACTGAACATCATATTAATTATGCCAAAATAAATACACATTGCATTACTAATGTTACACTATGCAAGGCAGGAACGCACATCTCCCAGTACCTATCATTCGCAGTCTCATAATGTTTCACACAGTGTGGACAGATATTACAGTATTTTGTGAAGAAGATTGGGCCTATTATCCTATGGTGGATTACAGCACATCAATTTTCTGTGATTGTAAAGGTAATTTGTGCATTGTATTTGGTTGTACACTTCTACCTTAATTTTGGGGGGTGAATTAACATAGCCAGAAAAATAGAACCAAATTTCTTCTGTATAAAACAAAATATCCACAGCATTATCATGTCTCCTGCCAGCCTTAGGAGCCCTCACTGTAAGATACTATACAAATTTCTCTATGTGGCTGCAAATAATGCTTAAGCTCCTTGACAACCTTCCTTGCACTAGAGTATGAACAGTGAATTTGTTACAATAGACATTTCAGACTTTTATAACTTTAGTTTTATTATTTACCACATTTTCTCTAATTCTCTACTGTAACATCATTTGACTAATGCTCATATTTTTTCATGTTGACACTCCCTGGTCACCAAAACAACACTGAAATACCATCATAAGACTGAGGGTAACTGGGTGTATTAATGACATTAATATATTTCCTAACACTCACTTAAAAGTTTGTGTATGTGAATGGCTTGTGCTAATGCACATTTTACATGCAACATCTGAATTTAATCATACAAATTTTTAGGTCTCTATTGATGCATTCCCTAAGATATATATCTCAAAGGATTCCTAAGTAAAGGATCGCAATGTATGTACTACAGGTATATACTGTACATTTAAAATGTGTGTATGTGTATTTGTTTGTTTGGATTTCGTTGTGCAAATGCTTGAGCATTTGATTTCTAGATACAGCCATATTGCACACATGCACGCACGTACGCACGCACGCACGCACACGCACGCACACACACACACAAACACAAATATTTATGTATATTTAAACTTAAGGTTGCTTACACAAAAAAGGGAGAAAACAAACACAGTTTTACCACAGACTAGACAACCAACCACTTAGTCATATCAATCCCCTTTTCTTGGTACAGTACTGTACTGCACTTCCTTGTTTGGGTATCCATACATCCATAGGATGTAATAAAGTTGAGAAGATGCTCAATTTAAAACAGAATACAGGGGGTACTACAGTTACGAAGTTTCACTATGACAAATCTACAAGCACACATATTTATGTCCTGTAGTGCCCCTAAATGGGGGAAAGTTCAGAAGTGATATATTTAAAATTGTTACATATTGTCTGCCCTCAAGAATTAAGTAATACATACATCATCAACAGCTCAAAATTTAAAATGTAAGAACATATATATTAACATGATGTATCCTGTACTCATGTGACTGTTCTTTACACCCAAACATCAAGGGATTCCCATACTATCTCACCACATACTAACTGTTACTTAAAAAAAATCACAATTGGATATCTTTGAATATAGACTTTCATATCTTTACTCCAACCCTTTCTCCTAATCCTGCATTTTCCCTCCCCTACCAAAAAAAAAAAAAAAAAAGTTACCCTGATTGTTAATAAAAATATTATGTTGTAAATATATTCTTATAAGTAAACCTCTGTACACTGTAAAATAACCTTGCTTGAGCCTACAAATCACAGAATTATCTGGTAATACATATCTTTGGTTCTTTAAGCAATTTCCAAACTGTCTAAGCAATTCTAATATGCAAAAGTAATCAGCACAATTATTCTCCGATGTTTATGAGCACTGCCATGTGCTGCAGGTACTTAATTACAATTGTTAGCCTACAGGTCAGGTTTCATCCAAAAATTTAGTTTTATAATTCTGTTCATATTTCTATGATCAAAAATTCCAGTAATTCTTATTGTTTCCTATGAATATCAAGTTTTCCAGAAGGTAAAATCCACTGAGGATCAAAAGCTATACATATACTGAAAATATGTGAAACACTTTCTTTAATGGTACATACAAACATTTACAAGAAAACATTGTCTATCAAAGCTTTTCTAATCTGGAGGAAAGTTACTCCTAAGCACATTTCACTTACTCCCTCATTGTAACATACAGTTCATCCAAAACATGAACAAAGTGCAACCACTTTATGTAACATTAAACCTTCCAGTAATAACAATAATCTAATAGTAATAACAAAATATGGAGAAATAACCTTAAGCCTTACTCTTAAGAACAGAAAGAGAAGTACTTACTTAATTTAATGGGTGGTGAAAAACAAGTGAGGGTTTTACACATAAGGCTTTTAACAGCATACACAGAGATTACTCTTTATAACACATTTATCTCCACTGCTAATGGTGGAGCAATACATTAGCCATGGCTCCTGATGATCACTGTGTCTGGATGTAAAAGATTTAAGATGAGAGGCTGTCATAAACCTAACAACATACAATAGTTGCATCCAATTTGGTCATATAACAAAAGACTGGTACAGTATTACTAGTTTAGAGGACTCCCATCCCAAGCCTTACACAGATCACCTGAAGAACAGCAAATGTCAACGTAAACAGCTCTGGAATTAAGCTCATGTCCTGATATTCTAAACGATGGCCTAATGATTCAGTTATTATAGAGACCTCCCAGGTGGAATTTGCTTTTAATAGTAATAACTTTAAAAAAACTGCACAGTAAGAGTAGGACAATAAAATATTCAGAATAAAAACAATACCATTATGTAGCCATTACCAACACTCGCTAATATGTTGCGGTAGTGACTCCCATATAATGCAATTAAAAGCCACTAGTAAATAACTTACACACAATTAGGTATTATAGAAAATAGTGCTTGTGTGGATTAGTGCACCAATCACAAAAGAAGTCAGGGGGTTCCACATGAATAACCCTTGTTGCCTGAGGGTTGCCACCCAAAAAAATTATGTGACACATCAAAAGATTACTTCTTCACAGCTGCTTTAAGAAATTTTTGGTTGCATATGTGCCATATTCTTCAGCTGCTTGGCCTTATGGTATGCCTCCTGGATAGAGAAATATATACCATCAATATAAGAATTTTGCACTTCAAGGAGCGACTTCATAGTTGGGAAAATTTTTGCCTATGCAGCAGTGCCTGTGGCAAGACCTTTACTACTGAACACCCAACAACATGCATAAAAAGTAAAAGTACTGGATCTTTAGAATGGTTAAATTTCAATATACAGTTAAGTATGTTCACTTAAACACTGCAAATGAGGCCTAGGGTCACTTTCTAGCAAGGCAGCAGATTGGCTGGCGGACACACACACTAAGGGTCTCTCTGCAGTTCTTTAGCATTTAATTATCTTATTTATACTCTTGTTTGTGTTGCTGTCTGATAATTTGTACACTTGATGAAGCAAAAATTAGCAAGTGAAATGCACTTGCAATATAAATATCATAAAGGGAAAAAAACACGAAAAAAGTTCAGTGACGTAAGCGCCCTTTTCGGTCGCCTAGAGGTGCCAGGGTGAGCTCAGAAACTCTGACATCATAAGCACAGGCAAAGATGCCATTTATATCCAGACAGTTTATTAAGCATCACATTTCCCAGATGTTATGTCAAGAAGAGCATCCAAGTATCAATAAAATAAGTTAACATTAACTCTCTTCACTCATAAAATACAGTATACAGTAAATGTAGCTATTATTGCAGGACCAACAAATAAGCTGGATTTCATCGCCCACAATTATTATTTGAGATTCGGCAACACTATTCTGAATGCGAACTGTAGGCAATTAAATAGAAATGTTACGATCTTGGAGCAGAAATTTTCCTTAACATCTGATAATTATCTCAAATTGTAAATATTTACTGCAATTAATATACAGGGTGTCCCATTAATGACACATTTCTGCTGTATAAATTTATCTAAAAAATAGTTAATATCTCCAGGGCTTCACTTGTAAATCGGAAATTAATTATTTAAATATACAGGTACTGATATTTCATTGAAATGCAGACCATAAGAATGTGTCAGATGTAAATGGAGCACACTGTACAATTAAGGAGAAAAAAAGAGAAAGGGAATGTGATAAGAACAGTAAGATAGTAGGAATGGTAGTCCTCACTTAATGTTGTGGTTAAGTTCTTTTAAACCACAATGTTAACGGATAAAAACATTACACAAAAAAAATTTCCCATAAGAAATAGATAAAATAAGATAGTTACGATCCCCAGCCTCCTTTCGACTCATAAAATGCATTACATATACTGTACATAAATACAATGGAATTTTTATAGGAAATACATAATATACATTAAAAAAAGATAAATAGAAACTTTAATTGATGAGATAAAACAATCATTTTCTATTGTACTCACCAATGGGGCTTAATCTTGTCTGTGTTGGTCCAGATACTACACATTGTTGTGAGGGTTAGGTCCAACGCTACACCGTACACCAATATCCACAGCACATTCACCTTGATCAAAAGGGTTTAAAACATCCATTTTCATAGCAAGGCTAATGGTCTTGCATTTCTTCTTCACAACACTAGCATCACTACCACTTGACGGGTACTTGAAAGCCATTCCGGGTTACAGTACAGTACAATATTTACAGCAAAAACACTTAACACGTCCGTATGCTGTGGAAGCTTAAGAAACACTGGGAAGAAGATGCTTGGGGACACCCTGATGCTCCACGAGAGAAAGCGTAGCTCAGCAAGATGTGTGAGGCCATATTCTACACGTCATACAAAATAGTCTGTGCTGGATGACAACATGAGGGCGACATTATAATGAATCGGGCAGGTAGTAAAACAACATTGTCTGCAACAACATTAAGCGAAGACTTGCTGTATTAAAACACTTACAAAACTCTTTTGGCTAAAAAGAAATCAAATCTAATGAATATAATTGAACTTTAAAATGAACCTAGAGAATGAAAAAGGTTTTGGGTTGGCTAAATGACCACCTGCATCCTTAAAAATACACCAGAAAAGTCCAAGAAACTGAGGAGATAGGTCAGTGGATGGAACGGTTAGTAAAAATCTACCTCAAGGTAATTTTTTCCCCACTACCAAAAGAAAGAAAAATTGTTGAATGGAGTTTAATGGATTCACTTAAGGGGGGGGGGGGATCTTGAGGTGGCAACTGAATATCGACTGGTGACTATAAAGACTTCAAACTATCCCTCGCCATGTGACATCACGCAGCATGGTGGCTAAAGCGGTGGGAATGTCACCAAAATTTTCTAATAATTTTCTTGTTCTCTTCATGATATTTATGTTACTAGAGCATTTCGCATGCTAATTTTTACTTCCCCAAGTGCAAGAAATTATCAGAGATCAGCATTGAATAGTTATTATTCCTTAAAAGTGCAGAATATTGGTAAGATAAATGATATACGACTACTAAAGCTCAGTCGAGTTACACTCCGCATGACATCCTGTTAGCCAATCATCTGTCTTGTTACAAATGGCTCTAGGCCTAATTTGCAAAGTTTCGGAGAACAAACAATACATATTAACATACCGGTACTGATAAAATACATATGCTTCTGTAATGATACAATTAATTTCAGATAGCAAGAAGACTGTTATTACCTTATCCCTGGAAGACAATATGTCGTGCTAATAAATGCAAGACTATCTTCCTTTATAATCACTGGAAAGAAATACAGAATATATCAGTACTGTAATTTAGTGAATGATGACATCCCTTTTTTTATAGCAGATAGAATAGTAAAAATATCTACTTATATTCAGTCAGTTTAGTCCAATACTAGATGAATCCATTAAGAAAATAGCATTTGTACTTAAATCATTATTTTGCTCTAATGTCACTGTAAGGTGAGAATATAATTTCACTGTACAAGAGTAATTATCCAAGATGTCTAAGTTTGCAGTTGCTACCAGATATCCCTAAACTGGTCCAACAATAAGGCAACTTGCACCTGAACTGAGACAGCAAAGGTAAACAGCATGGTTGGCCTTTCTGCTGCAGTAGATGCCATAAAGATAAATCAACATGGCAAACCTATCTGTTCCATCAGACACAATGGCAAACCTGTCAGTTCCATCAGACACAATGGCAAACCTATCAGTTCCATCAGACACAATGGCAAACCTATCAGTTCCATCAGACACCATGGCAAACCTATCAGTTCCATCAGACACAATGGCAAACCTATCAGTTCCATCAGACACAATGGCAAACCTGTCAGTTCCATCAGACACAATGGCAAACCTATCAGTTCCATCAGACACAATGGCAAACCTATCAGTTTAGTAGATGCCATGGCTGACCTAACCATTACAGTACACATCATATAGACAAACAGCACAACGGACCTTACTGGAACCAAACTATTAAGTGGACCCATTATGGATGAATAACATAACCTGGCCCATCTCTGCTGTAACAGATACCATACACATAAATAGTTTGGTTGCCATATCTACTGTAGCAGAAACCACACAGCATTAGTGGCTTACTCATACTAGGTTTAAATTTACTTTCTCATCATCTAATAGTCTTCCTTGGCTGATCAAGTTACCACAGATTTTTATAATTAGTGTCATAGACTTTACAGGAAAATATAGTAAAAAAATCATAACGATGTAGAGTATATCTCAAGGACACAAAACATGATAATTATATGGCTTGAAATTTTTCACGGTGAAGCTATTGAAATTTTACCCCGCTGTATTATAACCTCATGCGAAGAGAGTACTCATATTAGTACACTAACATTACTAAAGTGTGTATTCATGCTAGTACATTAATATTACCAGAGAGTTTATCCATGTACACCAATGTGTGTGTGTTAATTCTCAGATTATTGGAAAGATTCAGAGAAACTAAAGGGCATAATTTGAATTAAGCAAAGCACTGTTCAGAAGACATTGAAGAAACTTAAAAATAACATTAAAATGCTGATGTAAATTTATAAATGTACCACTTACTTTAATTGTCAGGAATTTATCAGTCAAAGGCAACTTACAGAAGCTCCAGATTCTAAAGATTTTTTTTTAATTTATGATTTTTTTAAATAATATGGTAAAGATACTTTTAAAAATCCAAGTACTATTGTGACAGGCAACAGTGAATACTAGTCTACAGCTTTGGTTGTTCAATAAAATTAGGAGTAAGCCATGGCTTTGATAACTATATTCTTTTCTTATAATAAACCAAACACGACACAAATCAGTATGGTATAAGGTCTACCAAGTTTCCTCTAGGCTGTGTCATGTGTTCTGGGAAGAACTGCGTCAGCTGGTCAAACAGCTGTGAACGAGTACTGTGCTGCCATCCCAAATCAGTGCTACATGGGCTTGAACTACTGTCTTCATCTTCTGACAAAGAATGTGTGTGACTGAGGGCCAAGTCTTCATGAGGCTGAAAGAGTGTTGTGGCTAGGGCCTGGAATTCCAGAACTTGTTGTGGGTCGGTATGGTCAACAGCACTGTGGAGTTTGGTTTGAAGATACTTCAGCGCTAATACTGAATTGTCCCGAGCTAATTCACTAAACCTGTAAAAAATATAAAAAAAAGTTATAAGCTGTATGAGATACAGGCAGTTGTACTTTTTCCTCGTTTCTTAGACTCTACATAAATAACTGAATACCAATTTACAAAATTTATTCCCTCCTCAAATCCTTTTTACTGCAAACTTTACATAATGAACATATTATACATCAAAACTGCATTGTATTCCTTGCATTCTTCTCAAACTTTATAATTTTGACTTTCAATTGTACTTTTTAACCTTGATCATCTTAGCCTGCATAGTACTGAATAATTAGACAATCATCAAACAAACTTCAAACCAAATCTCTTGCTGACCTGCTATCCTGTTACAACCTTTCATGTTCTTTTCAACTGAAATTAAGACATCAATCCTCTTCCTTCTGATTATTTTGCCTCAATATGTAAATGGGGTACAGTACATCTAGTTACACCAAGGTCACACAGGACAACAATGTACAGTATATCTAGATACAGTAAGATCTTGCAAGTACAGAGTGTTGTACAGGTACCACTCTGCAGAAACAAATTAAATTCGAATGGGGCTCAGATGTTGACTTGTCCCGCACTACCAAATACTGTACAGTACTGTATAATCAATCATGATTTGATGAGTAATGAGTTTAAGGTGTATATGTCTTTAAAAAAATTTACTAATATTTTCTTCACTTCAACCAATGGAAGTTCCAAGGTGTATGGGGCCAGAGTTATGGAGGTACTTCTCACGCCTCTGAGGCTAGCCATGCTATTACCAAAAACTTCATAAATAACTAAACTTAACAAGACGAGGCTGTACAATTACCTATGTTTCCGGATAAGTAGGACACAAGTATGTAGGAGTTGCTGTGTTGAGGGTCGACAGAGCCTTAGCGACCAAAAGTCATCCAGACGCATTTTTGGAAGAGAGGCTTTTCCCGGGTTGCCGCCAAATAAGTAGTGAACCTGTGAAAACATGTGGTCGAGTCTTCAAACTTCTTAACTGACCAGTGGCTGACATTTGATAGTAAAAAAGAAATGTGTCAGTCGATCGGTTCTAGGACATTTGATCATAGGTACAGTGAAAGCCTAACCTAACCATGGCTTCATCTCCTCCGAAATAAAAACATTATTATATAAATTTAATACAGTATTAACAGTCCGGTGGTGAAATGTCCGCCAACCCGGTCTATTGTAGGATACTGCTCCATTACATAATCCTTTTTTAAATAACTGCACATTATTAACATATCTGTGTGGCCTTTCCACATTCTGTTACTTACCCATACTGTATTGTATATCATATACAGTGATATCTTCGTTAGCCGGAACAATTGGTGCAGGGCACTTCCGGGTAACAAGACGACTCTCTCAAAGACGGAAAAAAATTCCCTCATCCCCGGAATTTTCCCGAATTTTCCAGATAATGCAATTTTTTTTCAGAAATTCCAGAAATTGCCCATTACAGTAGGGTCGGGATATATAGCGAATTTATAAGCGGCTACCAAAATTATCGACATTTTCCTATACAGCTCCTCCCCGACTTACGACGGGGTTACAGACCCAAATCCAGGTCATAAGTCAAAAATGCTTAAATAATACATACTAAATCTAAAATGGGTGCCTCTTTTTCTTCTCAGCACCACAAAACTTTCACTTTTAAGATTGCCAGCCATTTTAAAGTGAATTACAAACGAAAATTTTGTCAGTACACAGCGCAATCACTGACAGTGGGATTCAAAAATACGTAATTTGACAAAATTTTGGTACGACTGAGGCGGTCGTATGTTCGGGTGGTCGTAAGTCGAGTAGGTCGTAAGTCAGGGAGGAGCTGTATATATAGCAATAATTTTTTTATTTCGCGAGGGAAATCGGGCCGGAAATATTTCAAATTTATCACTACGTACTACCAAAATTATCGTAATTTTCCAATACAGCTCCTCCCCGACTTACGACCTACTCGACTTACGACCACCCGCACTTACGACCTGCCTCAGTCGTACCAAAATTTTGTCAAATTACATATTTTCGAGACCCAATGTCAGTACACAGACAAAATTTTCGTTTGTAATTCACTTTAAAATTGCTGGCAAGCTTAAAAGTGAGAGTTTTGTGGTGCTGAGTAGAAAAAGAGACACTCATTTTAGATTTTCTATGTATTATTTAAGCATTTTCGACTTACGACCTGGATTTGGGTCCTTAACCCAGTCGTAAGTCGGGGAGGAGCTGTATATAGAGATAATTTTATTTACAGTAGACTCACAACTTACATGGGGTTATGTTCCTGGGACCTCACATTAAGCCAAACACCCTATAAAGTCAGAAACATTCCTAAAAATCCCCTAAATTGCCTCAAAAATACGAGTTGAAATTTTTTTCTCTTGTGCAAAATATATTCAAGTTATTCGCTGTCTTACAAGGATTCCAGCAATGCAATTTATATTCTACTAACTTTAGACTGTGCCATTTTATATCAAGTTTAGTCACTTTTATTGGCCACCAGAACCTAACCCTATTTTCCCCATTGATTACATGTAATTATATATTGCGATTTAGTATATAGCGAACATCCTTGGACCCTATCTTGCGATATATCCCGACCTTTCTGTACATCATCTCTCGAACCCGGAAAAGTATCCCTCATCCCAGGATTTTTCCGGGTAAAGGAAAAATTTTCGCACAATTTCCAGAAAATGTGCCTGATTTTCATCTCTCAAACTCGGAAAAAACTCCCCCATCCCCGGAATATTCTGGAATTTTCCAGAAAATGTGCCCCTCGGAAAATCATTCCCAAAGCCGGAATTTTCTGGAAAATTACAGCTTTGGGAGCGATTTTCCGAGAAAATTTCAATTTCGGCTATCGGAGAGTTCCGGGTTTGAGGGATTCCGGCTAATGGAGATACAGTATTACTGTATTTCATAATAAGTAACAACTTCCCAACATTCTAAGTTATTAGATTTGATGTTTTGTTTTCCAAACTTTGTGATAAACCTTTAAAGCATACACTTGAACACTATATTATTGAATGTGACACTGTCAAAGACTTCAGGCCACCTGACTTACTGTATCTTGAACTATGTAATTACTTCATTGAATCAGGTGTGCTTGAGGACATTCTTGCTGTTTATCCCAAATTTGCTAGCCCACACTGATTAGTCTTCAATTAGAATATGACTCCAATGTATGTGATCCACTGACCTATATATGCTGCTGGTGAATGTGATGTATTTCCTTCTTTGTGTACGAACCTCTGTCCTGCGTGGCAGTGAACAGTGGCATTACCCACATGAATCTGACCTATATATAGTGTCAATGAATATGATGCATTCCTTGTGTACGAACCTCTCTCCTGTATGGCAGTGGAAAGTGACATTACCCACATGAATCTGACCGACGTATATGTATGTATGTGTGCATGTGTGCATGTATATGTATGTGTACATGTATATGTGTATGTATATACGTATATGTATGTGTGTGTGTTTACATATATGTATATGTACTGTCAATGAATATGATGCAACTCTTTGTGTACGAACCTCTGTCCTGCATGGCAGTGAACAATGACATTACCCTTATGAATCTGACCTATATACATTTATAGTTGTTAATGAATATGATGTATTTCTTTGTGTGTGAACCTCTGTCCTGCGTGACAGTGAGAAGTGATACCACCCTCAGTGTCAAGACCTGACTGAATTACTCAGAATAGGCAAACTGTACTACAAGCTCTGCCAATAAATTTGTTAAACTAAACTAAACTGTTTTCCATTAATATATGCATTAAAAAATTCTTAAAAACACTTGCATTATTTTTACTGGTACTGATATCACTTTAATTAATGGAGTACTAATTTTCAGTACCCTCCTAATACTTAATTCTAACCTAACCTTATCTTATCTTAGAACAACTTATAAATCTAACCAAACCTAACCTTACATTAATTCCACAATCCTCTAACACATTTAACAAAATTAACACACACTGTACAATCTCTCTTTTCAAGATCTATAAAGGTCAAAAACACACCTAAGCTATGCAGAATTACCACTGACCTTTTTCGTATCATCATAGACAAGCTGGTGGGCAAATCGAGGGCAAGGCTCCACATGTTGCATTTTACTCCAATATGACTCTCCAGTTTGTTCATTGCGGTATATACATGACCTGAAGCACAAGAACACCAGAAAATTTCTTATGGTCATATTATGAATTCAATGTAATTAATGAAGTTTATTTATTTGGAAGAAGAAGAAGAGGAAGATAAACAATAACAAGAGGAATTGAAAAAAGTTGTGAATACTGTATTAACAGATGGATCTGAGAGGATGCATCCACTGAGGGCAGATCAATTATTCCAAATTGCCTTTACATTTTCTATTTCTTGAAACCTCAGGCACTAAATAAACATACCTGAACTATACTATTTATCAGCAGTCAATGTTTAATTATTTGTTTTTAAAATATCAGCCCAAGTAGACAAACAAAATTAATGCTACAGCCAGTCACTGTACCTGGTGCCTATCTAATTTTGGCATCTCTGTTGATGTAACATACTCTTTGTAAACCTATGTTTATAAATGGAAAGGAATAATGAAACAGGTCACCCTCGTTATTCCAGTTTTGCAAGAGCTGGATTTCCACTCACTGTACCAAAATTTTGTTTGTAGTACAGGGTATTGGGCTAAGGTTCATATGTACAGTCACCCACAAAAGTCCTCCTGAACCACAAACCCCGAGATTCAGACTCGTGAATTTGAAGCATTTATGTACAGAATAATGTATCAGTGTCTTGCTTCGGGTTCACAAGTCTGAATCTTGGGGTTTGTCGTTCAGGAGAGGCGAAAGGACTTTTGTGGGTGACTGTTCAGTCAAAATGAAAAGTTCTTTGAAAATCCCCAGCCAGAATTATGTTTCTGTTCATAATGTAGATGACACCAACTCTTCTAGGGATGTGACCCCCAGCATCAACAAGGACAACCTGTATTCTGATTTATTCAATCACAATCCAAACAAAACTTTTAAAAATGAGAAAACTTACCATTTATTTTGAGATATATCATAAACCCAGAATGAGTTGCGAACATTTTCATCTCGTTTATCCTTGTCCTTACTAAGGCCCTACAAGAAAAAAAATTGGTTAATATCACTTTGACAATAAAGATATATTGATCCTGAAATTCCTTTTTCTGGCACAGCCCATAGCCAGCAGCTTCCTGTAATACAGACTGGGTGTTGAGGCATTCTCTGTTCTTGAACAAACCCCAGTTAATTAGCCCTAACAGACCTGGATTTGTCCATCATAATAAGATTTAAAAAGGAAATTGTAACATCAAACTGTGGCTAGACTAGGGATATATTTCCAAGCCCCTAATGAGAGGGTACAATATATCACTGAAGAAACATACAATCCAAGATAACAGCAGACCCTTAGAAGACTTAAAAATGTCTGAATCCTGAAAATAAAACAAGTGACAAGCAGATGTGATGTATTGATCTGCTATCCAAAGCTCTCTGAGCATCCAATGAGCCTCCATGCCAGAAAAGAGCTTATGGTTTTCCCAAGGTAATAAGACAGCTAACATTAGTAGTGACCAGCATTTAGCCATGGCCCAGTCCTTGTGAGGGGAATTGAATTTTGAATTGTCTGGGGATGGGGTTAGGGGAGGGATTGTGGCCTCAGGTATTGTGTTAATAATATTTTACTCCCTTTGCTCACATCAAAAGCATAAAAGCCTGAAATTTAAAAAAATGGTAAATACGTCAACAACCCCTATACAGTGATCCCTCGGTTAACGAACGCCTCAGTTAACGAAATTTCGGTTAACGAATTACCTTCCATAAGATTCTTCACTTCGGTTAACAAAAAAATTTCGGTTTACGAATTCCTTACGAATTTTTCCCAACATGTTTTCGCCTGCTCACCAGCTGTAGTATTGGTCCGCCAATACAGTAATCGGTTTTAGGGCTTAAATTCGTTACCATTTGAGTAAATATCAAGAAGGTTGTACAATTCAATAATTTTCCAAGTCTTATATTAAAGTTTTTAGTCATTTTAACAATTATTTAACATAATTGAAGTACAGGGAACTAGTTTTCAGCGCGCCAAACAGCCACTCAACACACCCAAAATGGCATCAGTGTGTGTCCCTGCTCAGTGGAGGAAGCTTCTTGCTTGAGACTCTCTTTTACATAAACTATTTTTACGTTTTTACAGTACAATTACAGTATTGGTCATTTTGAAGTTTATTTTACATATTGACAATATATAATGCAGTGCAGTGTTGATTTAAAGAAAATAATCTTGAATTACACCAAGTGAACTAAAATTTTATGGGTGAAATGGCGGCATGGGGTGACTTCTCTTCCACCCCAATGCGTTCTCTTCTCCCTTCTCCTCCACCCCCATTCTAATTCCCATCATCAACCAGGAGCCTTCTACATGCACACCTCAAAGTAAATGTACTTTACTGCATTTATTTTTAGTTTGTATGTAATTTTCGGTGAGCTGGAACCAATTACTCAAAATCCCATTGAAACAATGGTTTCGGTTAACGAACGACTTTCTGGAACGAATTGTGTTCGTTAACCGAGGGACTACTGTATAACAATAAAATAAAAACTTACTAACACTCTTGCTTACCTGGTAACACCAGGAACTAGTAGTTTTTTGCTTAAAACGCTGATGGATTGTAACACAAGCAAAGCATTTAGCTTTATGTCATAAATATGAAATTGAAAGGAGAGCAAACTTGGGAACACCTATGGATACCTTTTTTCAATGGTGTTGGCTGGGAACCAAACCAAAGATGACAGATAGAACCAAAATAAGGTGGCACATCCACAGCTTTTTGGCTCAATGTAACCTGACTAGTAAGAAATAGCTACAAATAAGGCCTCCTGTCTTACAGCCGGTGTGTACTCATATCTTTTCCTTATTGATTTTGTCCAAGGATATAAAACACCACAATGCCAGCCTGTATCATGAAAAGTTACCTGGTGAAGAGCATAAGCCAGAAAGAAGGAGCCTGATAAAGCAGCAACATATATCATTAATTACATAAATCATAATTGGTATGCAAAAAGTAAATTACTGTACCTGATTTTCAATGTCTATGTAAAGTGCATGTACTTCTATGGGAGTAAGTAAAGGGTTTTCTAAAAGAAGCTGTTGTTGTAAGTTGATGTCTTACTTGTACATCCATAATATCATATTTATAGCAATCTTACTCAGTACTTCAGTAGAAACTTAAAGGACTGCAATACAAACTGAAAACAAGAAAAACTTAGCAGCAGGTAAGGGAAAACAAATACTGTATTAAACAGATAACATGAAAAACCACTGACCGATAACACGTGAATCTCATTAAGATGGGGATCTATGGTAGCTTTCTGAGTAAATCCAGCAGCAGGTACAGATGACGAGTCCTTGCGTGTTCCATCACTTATGAAACTAACTGTATCCGTGTCTATATTATACATAAAAAAATCCGTCAAGTATTCCTTATTTCGTTGCCCAGCCAAGATGAACAGCTGACGACTTCCCTGGAGAATAAAAGAAGAAGAAATTAAGTAATATTAGGGATAATTTTTTAATAAAAGTGAGAGATAGATCCTGAATTCCCATTTCATTTTTAGGTTTGGAGAGCTAGTTCAAGGGAGCAATGGACTCTACACTAAGCAAGGATATTTCATAAAGTATCAAGACTGAGTCACACATTTGTATAGGTAGTGTAAATTTACCTACTGAAGATATAGAAAAACATATATAACAACACTAACAATACTTAACAAAAGAAAGTAGCTTGTGGATAACTTCCTCAGCCAAACCTTTGTCATCAACTAGCTAGGTACACTAAAATACTGGCCCATCCTCTATACATTACTCTCAGAAGGTTTTTATCATATCCAGTTATTCATTTTTGTTTGACTAGTATTATCAGTTGTTGGTGAGCTTGAATCTGTTGGGGGCAGATGAAGCACTGTTCAAGGGTTAACACTGTACAGTATAGCTGCCATCTGTTACTAAAATATTCAATTAGTGTGTACTGTATGTCTCTGTTCAGGCAAACATACTGTGTCTGAGAGTGGCATATTTGACAGACAATGGGTTTATGTATATTTGACACCTACATATCACTAAATACACTCTATATACTATATAAAATGAGTGTTTCAGTACCAAGCACAACCTTATTATTCAATTTTCAACTTTAATGTGCAAAGGATGGTGTTTTGTAATGATGGGTGATATGGTGGATAACATTTCCATTTGCAGATTTTAAGTAAGATGATTTTGTTTTTACACACACAATGGGGGCTTTCTCTCTATACCTCAGAATTCATTACAACTGAAACTGGGTGCTGCTGAAACTTCCACTGAGCTAGAAAGGTGTTACCATACTTAAAAACTCACACTATGAAACAGCATAGAATGACCTATGCGAGACTTGATGTCCTGAGGACCAGAAGAGTTACCAGAACAATCTTCTCTCAACTTGGTCCAGGTATTTGTAGATACATGGTATGCGTACAGACCGGAGAAAATAGCTTCACTTGGAGTGTAGGGACTGCTGCGGAGCTCATCCAATCCCAGCCTAAAACAAGAAACACAGTGGGAGATTATCATTAAAAGTAAACATAATAACATTGTATAGCATTATTTACACATAATCCCAGCCTACAGCAAGAAACAGTAAAGACTCTCATTAAAATATTAATCATTTAAATTAAACCTCAATACGTATACTGTAAATAATTCCTTCCTAGAGCACAAAATTTAGCAAAACATTCTTGTTAAAACTGCATCTACGTAATAACACGGTGAAAAAGTAAGCTAAGCATTACTCTCAAGCTAAACATTATTCTCCGTCATATCCTGTAACATATCACAAATTAACCCTAAAAGTTCAGCTAAGGAAATGCCCACTGATGATGGCCGCCATTTATAGGTTAAGATATGTGATAAATTAATCCCACACAGCAGTAGAAGAAAATTTACTTCATGTATAATTATTTGAACACATAATACTGTACCATAGCTCTGTTTTCCATCACAACAGAAATGAGGAATTAAATATAAGGAGTATTCTAAAACTATAAGTACAGTAAACTAGTTAGATAATTTGATGCAGGAATATGAAAAAAATTAAAAAAATTGAGTGCAAGTGAGGAGGAAATTCAAATGAAAGGTGGAGAAGAGAGATAGATATCGGTGCATATGTGAGTGTATATCTATGTATCAACAGGAATACAGATATAAAGCAACACTTATGTACCCCCCAACGCACCCCTCCCATCTTGAGGGGGTGAGGACACGTCCCCCGAAGACATATATAATCCGCTTCTCAACATCCATGACCATCTGGTGATCAAAGATGAGCCGTGGACCTCCCAGTGAAGCGGTGTCTTCAGTTACTTGAGTCCACTTGTTGTTCTCGATGTCATACATATAGAAGTCACTCTGGAGAAAAGAAATGGATACATAGTCAGATGCTACCTTGCACATGCAATAACTTATGTTGGTGTAAATAAAACAAAAGCAATGAGTTGTACTGGGGGAGACAATATAGAGGTCATCACAAGAGGTTTAACTTTCTGGGGCTGCCACACTTGATTTTCAGCCCACCACATATGAGTTTTTGGCATCGATGTAAATTTTTTTCCACTATACAGTACAGTACTACAAAAATAAAAAATAAATCAGTCATTTTTAATATTTAATGCATTCTGCAGATTTATGGGGAATAACAAAAGATACCTAATTTTAATTGCACTAGTAATTTCAGCTCTCAACTGTAATGTCAGATTTCTGTGAATACAGGGGGCCCCCCAAGTTCGCGGATTTTTACTTCACGGTTCTCAGTTATTCTCGGATGACACTCTGGATGTACCCAAGAATGTCTGTGGGTAGTTTTAAAGTTGCCGGCATTTTCGTGGCTGGGACAGGGAGCCATTCATTCTAGAGAGAGCAATTTCCTTTATCTGTATTGTAAATATGTGTGTGTGTGTGTAATAATAATAATAATAATAATAATAATAATAATAATAATAATTAACGGTTTATTGAAAGAGCTTGGCAGCCAGAAGGCTGAAAATATACAGTTACATATTTGGGGAATGGGTTTCAAATTACAAATAATATACAAGTAACAAAAGTGATACAAATAAGATATATAATAACTAGATGGGGAAAAGCTCAAACTACAGTGCATTTCAACATAGTGACAGTGCAAGAAGTAGTATTTACTGGGAGTGAATACACTGGTTTATTACAAGTTATTGATAATTTTTACAATGGTTGGGACTGGGCTGTTCTTATAGCGATCAGTTCGTGCACGTATGGGCTGGATGCGGTTGTGGTGTCGAACAGTAATTCTCGGGCTAGGAATCTCAGGTGGTAGTAGGAGCCGGTGTCGAGGATGGTGTAGAAGCTTCTTACCAAATTTGCAGATGAGGTCGTGGTGATGGTCAGTGAGAGTCGAAAGGGTCAGTGTGTTGAGCGCTTCTTGATATGTGGAGTAGGAAGGGGAGAGGTATGTGTGTGTGTAGACACACACACATACACACACACAAAACACATAAAAATAAATAATGATCGGAAAATACTCTCACAAATAATCAGAAACAAATTTATTAAAAATGTGACAGTCTACCCTCAAGTCCGTGCTCTATTACAGTACTTTATTAATAGAACACGGACTTGAGGGAAGACTGTCACATTTAATAAATTTGTTTCTGATTATTTGTGATAAGATTTTCCAATTATTATTGATTTGTGTGTGTGTGTGTGTCTACACACATACACCTATACAATACTACAGGTAAAAGAAATAATTGTCCTAAGGGCAAACACATAAAGAGAATATACAATACATATTTTTGTACACAAGTAAAAATGTACCCCCCCCCCGTTCCGCAAATGTTATTCGTGGATTATTTGGTAATTCGCGGCCATTTTGAGAACCTAACCCCGCGAATTTCGGGGGCCCCCTGTACTTATTCACAGAAATCTGACACAATAATGTGTAACGTTGTTTACACACAATGTCCTAACAAAACACTTTATCAGATGATAACACTCTTGAATACTTTTTCTGTGCTGATCCCTGTATTATCCATAAATTATCAGAATGAATACTCACTTTCAAGTTCTCTGGGACACGTAACACGGAATCCAAGTAACGGCCTAGAGTAAAGATTTGCCGACGCTCAGGATCCAAGCACATCTTGTGACAGGAACGAGCACTTGGACCACCCTAAATGGAAAGCTTTCATGAGATTTATGAGACTTGTCATATACATACTGTATACACTACAGTGTTTTGTACTTAATAACTTTAAGGATAGATCTAGTGGGTCCAGCCATAGGAAAAGTCTCCTTCCCATACATTGTATCCACAAGTACCTCAAAACACTGATTTGTTCAAAACACTGCAGGAACACATCTGATGAACAATTGTAAATGATTGTTAGCTAACATATAAGTGAATAGAAGCTACATCAAATCTGTCTCTGGGAAAGGTGAAAGACTGGAAAAGATAATGAAAAGTAAAATAACCATCAGTGAAAGAATTATGTGTTCTTGGGAATCCTTAACAGACTACCAAGTGTTCCTGCCGTATGTAGATGGTTAACATAGGGCAAAGAGCTACAGAAATCACTCAAAGTTTATTCAGAAAAACAAGAAGTGTTAGGAATTAATAAATTAGATACAGTAAGTTTCATGTGGTGATAAAAATGCATAGAGCACCTAAGGATTGAACACCAGCCAGTCTACTATTTATAATTACAATAAAAAGAAAGAAAGAAAGCAAAAATATCAAAGGTAAGACACTGATATGAATTTTGCACTAATAATCAATATATGAAAGTAAATAAATTATTAGGATTTGGTACTGAGAGCAGGTAACTTAAGTATTCCTCTGGGAATACAAGGATTTTGGCCAGGTACACTATACGGTATGACTGAATGTTAAATTTAAAGCTAACCTGAAAAATTTATGATCTATTTCATTTATAACTGATACAGTACTGTATAACTACAGTATATACTCATATAACAACCATACCTCAGCTTGAGTATCTCTGGTGATACATGTCCACTCCTGGGATGGTATATGGTAAGACCATAGGTCACTCAGGTCCTGCATACCATCCCATCCACCAAACAGGTAAATTGTCTGAAAAATAGAGGATTGGTGTTGATATCTTAAATTATGACAATCTTTTTTCTTTTTTTTAAGGAGGATTGGCCCACCCGGGCACAGGTCAACGACCCACATCAGGGGCTAGGGAGCAAAAAAAAAAGAATAGAGAAATTAAAAATAGAAAAAGGAAAAGGTCATATTAATTTACACTGCAAAGATGCCGGAAAACCAGCTTTTTAAAGTGAGACAGATTGTATGAGTATGGAAGCACAGAAGAAGGCAGAGCATTCCACAGTTTGGCTGTGTGAGGAAAGAAGGTTGTACAATAACAGGTTATTCTAGTGTGACCGACATCCACAGAGAAATGGTGGGCACTGCGGGCAAGACGTGTGTTACAAGCCCACGGCCTTGCCAGCGGTACATAGGATGCCAAATCTACTGAATATTGCCCGTTAAAGTACCTGTAAAAGAGAGAGAGTGAAGTAACATTGTGGCAAAGAGAAAGGAAAGAGAGATTGTCAACTAAAGGAGGAGAGTTAATAAGACAAAATGAGAGACTTATACATTATCCTATCGAGTCCACAAGGTTAAAACTCAGAAATACCTTAGACATTAGTGGAATGGGACAAATTCATGAATAATTCAATCCCTTCCTGCTGTAACTTCAAGGTGAATACCAAGGGAGCCACAATGGAAGGTAAGAAAGCCATCAATACAGGTAAACCATTGATAAGATATCCCCCTGTAAAGGCTCATCCTAACTAAGCTGAACTAGAAGGAGGAGTATTAAAAAGGCAAAAGAGTGTCAATACCATATGCCACTAATCATCATCCAGCTAATTTATTGTTGTTGATAAAATGTATTATTGTTTCAACAACTAAGGTGTAAGCACATATTCTATATTAAAGAATACACTTGTCATCAACAGTTAAAAATAAGGATAGATACTTCTCTCTGGTTAAACAACACACATGGTTATTACCTGAGTGTTGGTGTCGATGCACATCTGATGTCCGCCTCTCATTCCTGGCCGCTGACGACTACTGGCAGCCCCTCCGGGACAAGGAATGATAGGTGTCCACTGTGGCTTGTATTCCTGCTGGCTGATATATTGTTGGAACAGTCCCTCTGTGTGGGATACAAAAAATAAACTTTTAATAATCAAGTTCAGTAGATTCAGTCACCCTATGTATAGTATACCTGTACTATACTATAATGTGTATGAAAAGATGGAAACACAAAAACTAAAGACACAAACACACATTTTAATACCAAACCTTGGAACAATCCCAGACATAAATAACTAATTTGAAAACATGAATAATTAATATACTGTACTGATTACAAAATGCACACCAACAATAAATTTGTCATCCCTATAATCAATAAAAGTTTGGAAAAATTAAACATCTAAGATTCAATAGGAAATATACAATATACAGTGTAAAGTCTTAATATTTTTGTATGTGTTGGCTGACCGCAGACACATGATACATCCTAAAATATGCAGTACTTAATATAATTACCGTAACCGCAAATACTACATTACTTTAATCAGAGTAATTTGTGAAAAACAGAGGCATCATATTAGTATATACTATATACAGTTACTTCTTATACAGTATAAGAGGAAGCACCTACCCTGAGCAGCTTGACCAATAAGTTCTTCACAGGCATCAAAGTCTCCCTCATCCACAAGTAGTTTATGTAGTTGTGTTAACCGAGGATCTTCTAACGTGACCCGCGTTCGTTTCTCAAGAGACTCAAACGCCTCGGTGTAGTTGTGTTGACGGAAATGCTTCAGGCAGAGTCGAATAGCTTCTCGTTCCCGATACTAAAATATAAAAAATAAATTCAAAATGTTCTCACTTTATTATTTCAGTCAAGTGACAAACAAAACAAAGAAAACTGCAACAAACACAGCCAATATCGCCCACCATACACCTTTATAGGTACAGTACTGGTCATCATCACATACCCCATGGAATATTGGTGGTGTGGGGTGAGTGAGATACTCCATTCTTGTCACTAAGTATACAGTACTGTACATACATACATACATACGTACATACATACATACATACATACATACATACATACATACATACATACATACACACATATGAGCATTGCTGACACTGATGGCACGTATGAGAAAATTATTTTTTACTTTCTGACCACCCAGTAATTATCACATACAGTACTGTAATGGTTTCTGCAACCGAGAAATTTACCTCTTTATGTAATAGAAATACTGTAGTATATGAATAAAATACATAAAATATACAAAGACTATACTGTACTTATCTTTGTAAATTGAATATACCTGTACTGTATTACCGGTAGGCACAATGTTAGTTATTCTCCAACGTGGACCGCGTCCACCATAGACTCCTCAGTCTTAAAGACAAGACTAAATCCAGAACGTTGTCTCCCCTCGTGGGTTCCGACACGTGTTGTGTGAGGAGTGAGACTTGAATGAGATCAAGGAATTCTTCTACCTCGGCTTGTGTGGTAAGATTCACCCAGTCAATTGTCTCATGATTAAAATCTCCCATGATGAGGGCTTGTACTCTGAATGCTGTCTGGAAAAATCTACAAAGAACTGCTACTTCCTCCTCCAAGGCGGAGTCAACCCCATAGCACACACCTACTATCAACTTGCTTTTATTTTGTGCTATTAAATTACACCAAACAGATTTGGATGATCTCATTTCATTTAGCTCAATATTACTGCTTACTGCCAGGTGCTCCTTGACATAGTAGTACACCACCACCTCTTGTGGTAAGTAAAATTCACCCCAAAACACATCTTTTTGACCCCAGGACTCACTAATTCCAATGATGTCTGGTTTCTATTATTATCCTCCTGAAAGACTGAGTCTAGAGGGATAGTAGAATCAATCTAATGTTGTGTTGCTTAAGAATTTGTTCTCTCTGGGTTAGTAGTACAGTACTGTTTAAAGCTACATCATGCACTATGTTAACATTATTTACAGTTAGTTTGCCACATGCCCCTATTAGTGGGAGGACTGGTACACCCACTAAAAAATTATTCGGCACCCATGTCATGTTGTATCACGCCATGAGGGTGCCGAATAATTTTTTAGTGGGGGTACATTACTTGGAATTCCTCATCTTCCTGTACCCTGACTACTTGGTTTCTTCTGATCTTTAGTTGAGCATTCTCATATATTTCCTGTAAACAGAATTTTTATAAAGTAACCTGAGGAAACATTCGGCCTAACTGCTTCCCCTCTAGTCTACTGTTAGACATATTATCATAGTCATTAAAATCAAATAAATTATTCAAAGAAGACCATTTTCAAAAATCTCCAACTGGAAAGTACAATACAGTGGTCCCTCGGTTAATGAGCGCCTCGGTTAACGAGATTTCGGTTAATGAGTTACCTTCCATAAGATTCTTAAATTCGGTTAACGAGCAATCCCTCGATTAACGAGTTTCTTACGAGCTGACCTGAACATGTTTTTGCCTGCATTTGGCGGTCCACCAGCTGTAGTATTAGTCCGCCAATACAGTAATCGGTTCTAGGGCTTAAATTCCTTACCATTTTAGCAAATATCAAGAAGTTTATACTATTCAATAATTTTAAAAGTTTAAAATTATATTTTTAAGTCATTTTAACAATTATTGAACATAATTGAAGCTAATGAAACTAGTTTTACGCACGCCATCCATCCTCTCAACACGCCATACAGGCGTCAGTCATTGTGTCTTTTCAGTGGAGGTAACATCTTGCTTGAGACTCTCTTCATCTAAATGCTTTTCTTCTGTGTTTGCAAGCAAATTATTGGTCATTTTGAAATTTATTTTACATATTGACAATATATAATGCAGTGCAGTGTTGATTTAAGGAAAATAATCTGGAATTACACCAAGAGAACTAAAATTTTATGGGTGAAATGGCGCCATGGGGTGACTTCTCTTCCACCCCAATGCCTTCTCTTCTCCCTTCTCCTCCACCCCCATTCTAATTCCCACCATCATCATCATCATCCAGGAGCCTTCTACATACACACCTCAAAGTAAGTGTACTTTTCTACCTTTTTTGTTGAATTTAGGCAATTTTCGGTGAGCTGGAACCAATTACCCCAAAACCCATTGAAACAATGGTTTCGGTTAACGAGTTTTTCAGTTAACGAGCAACCTTCTAGAACGGATTGTGCTCGTTAACCGAGGGACCACTGTATATGTTGCTGTTATGAAGCGAAGTAACAGACAAATTTCCTGTTCTATTTGTATAAATCATTATGTCAAAAGCCATTTTTTTCTGTAGAGAAAGAATCTTTCATCTTTAAATATGAAATACCTTGTAATTATAATGTCACTATAAATACCTTTTCTTGTCATCAAAATCCAATAAATTATTCAGAGCAGAGTCTGTTTTTAAAAATCACTGATTGGAATTTGTTGACTGTTTTATTTGTTTAAATAATTATGTCAACTGCTATATTTTTTTCTGTACAGAAAATTTTTCATCTATAACACGACATACAATGTACGTAAACTGTTCATTTTTTGCCATGGTTATGTAATAAATGGGGGAAGACATTCAACCATATCCTCCCCATATATGCCAGTGGCACTAGGCTATACATGTATTCATAGTATACTGTACTCACTAAAATGCATTTTCTAAGCATTTTGATCATTTATATTTAATAATTCCTCTTACAAATATCATCACACACCACCGGCCTGGCCTGACTGTACTATAGTGTAGTTCACATTGAAACATACTTTTTTCCTTCAGATATTGTCAGTAATGTCACTTCGACACCTAATCATATCCATATAGTACAGTATTTAAAAAAGTATACAGTACAGTACTGTATACACATGTCTATTTGCAAAATTTCTATGTGTTTTTCTTACATGTAGGCTGATAATTTAGACTCCATTGACGCTTGCAAGTTTTATGTCAGTTTTTAGCCTAAAATTACATCCAAACCTATGTTTCCCAACACAAAAATCACTTTCAATCATATTTCACTATGGACATGCAGTTTTGTGCAGTTTTTGTCCATAGCACTACGCAATCATCCAAACCTACCACGATCATCAGTTCCCATGCTTTTTGCATTCCAGACAATAATATTCAGTTTTTCACCCAAGATGGCAGTGAATTGTTGACAATCACAGCTAATTACAGCTCTAGAGCCCTCAGCAACTGATGTGAACTCTTACCAATGAAAGGAAACCAAGCCAATGATGTCAAGGGCGCAAAATTTGAGCTTGCAACCGAATCAGCTGGTACATAGCCTGCCGCAATCAGCTGATTTGGCTGGTTCCAAGCAGAGGATTTAATAAATTATCCAACAGTTTCAGAATCTTGTAGTTTTCATGTTCAACTACAACATGTTTTCCTTTATATCATCACACCAAACTCCTCTGATGCTTTCAACATTTTTGTCACTACACCAGAGCCACCAACAGCCATTACTTTCTTCATTTTATCAATCAGTCTTTACCCATTCTCCTTCACTCATTGGGCATGCATGGTCTTTATACTAGCTCTTCTCCTTCTAAGCTTATCAAGGGCCACTTAATGGTGTTAAATCTATCAGATCACACAGCTCATTCACTTAGCCATAAAATGGGACTGCCTATACTTAAATTCTTAATTTTTTACATATTTCTTCCAATTTCTTCTTTTATATACCCTGTTGAACACGCGCACACACACACACACACACACACACACACACGTAATTTGCCATATAATATTTTAATTAAACACTTGATATATGGCAGAAGTACTCACTGTTGTATACCAGTTGATACACTTCTGCACCACCGTCCAGTCATCACAACCACGGAGGCCCACATGCCAAATACTAAAGTTGAATGTAGATCCCCATGACTGAAACAAAGGATAATATTATAAATAAATACTGTACCGTATTTGTACCTAGGCCTAAACATGAACTTAATTATTTTCTTCTTAACAAAATTATCAGTAAAATCATGATCTTACTCACCACACATATCTACACCTCATCACATGACTGAGCAAAGTTTCCAAGTAAAATCAGATAAATCTACTCGTATGTTAACTTCATCACGGTCTTCTACTGAACAAACTTCTCAAAAAAATATCAGAAATTTAGTGTATTTATATCTAGGCCTTAACTCAATCTTCCAGTGAATAAATTCTAAATGAAACAACACAGATGTCTCCCCATAACAAGGCCTCATCATTATGACTTGTGCTGGATCCCTTTGTCAGCAACTTATACACATTCAACTGCTAATTAAATCAAACAAATTAAAACTATTTCCAATCAATACAAAGGGATTATAAGAGATAGTTAAGCCAGGGAGGAGTCATTTACGGTTAACAAATTTATTAGCAAAGTTTGGAGTACAGTTTGCCTATTCTGAGTAATTCAGTCAGGTCTTGGCACTGATGGTGCTATCACTTCTCACTGCCATGCAGGAGAGGTTCAAACACAAAAGAATAGATCATATTCATTAACAGTATACATAGCTCAGAGTCATGTGGGTGATATCACTGTTCACTGCCACGCAGGACATTAGTTCATATACAGTAGAAGTCATATTCTATTTGAGGACTAATCAGTGTGGGCTAGTAAATTTGGGATAAACAGCAAGAATGTCCTCAAGCACACCTGATTCAATGTAGTATTTACATAGTTCATGATACAAAAAGCCAGGTGGCCTGAAGTCTTTGACAGTGTCACATTCAATAATATAGTGTTCAAGTGTATGCTTTAAAGGTTTATCACAAAGTTTACATGCTGAGTATTCCGGTATGGGTACAGCGTCACTAACTTGCTAGATGTGTCTGTACCCTAGCCTAATTCTAGCCATGACTAGATCACATTGTCTGGTTCTGTCCTTATGCTGGCCATACTGGTACCTCTTGTCACAAAATTTGTCAGATTTACTAATGCTACAACTACCAGGTCTCTCTGCATTTCTCAGTTCTTCTAGATCGGAGTTCATGATTTTGACTTGAATGTTTTTAAGTACAGCATTGGACAGGCCAAGGTCATGGTCCACATATTCTTTCTTACATGCCTCATTGGCCAGTCTATCAGCACAGTCATAATACCTAATTCCAACATGGCACGGAATCCACACAAATTCAATACAGTATAGTCTGGTTTTACGCGGAGAGCGTGGGTGGCAGGGGTGGCAAGGATGCCTAGACCAATCACAGCGCGCGGCAGAGGGCTGTGTGGGTGGTAAGGATACGTGGCCCAATCACAGTCTGCAACATTCCCGGCGCGAGTCTGACGTCAGCGCCCAGCACCTCACCCTGCTGCTTGCCGAGTACATGATGGAATTTACCGTATAAATAATAATTATCTCTTCTGACAGGTGCCTCGTAAATGGCCTTCCGCGCAAAAAATATCCGCGTAAAACCAGACTATACTGTACTGTACAAAAGTTGTTCTCCTTAGTAGTTATCACATTTCTTTTAACCCTTAAGCCCCAGGTTAGGGTGCTGCTGGCAGTCCCCCCCTCCCCTCATGGGGATAAATCGAGAAAAAAATTAACTTTTCCCAAAATAATAAAAATAAATAAAAATATAAATATGGCGGGAAATAGGCGGACATTCTGGAACGTCACCCGAGGCGCACTGGTCAGACGTTCTGGAACATCACCCGGGGCCAAAGGGTTAATATCACAAACAACTTTAGAAATAGAGCCTGACAGACTGGTCATTGGTTTCAAAGCACTTTGGGAGTCACAAAATATCACCCCACCTCCATTTTCTTTAAGGTAGTCTGTAGCTAAGTAGATTCCCATTAGTTCAGTTTGTGTTGTGCTGGCCCAGTTGTTCAGCCTTTGCATGTTTGACACTATCATCTCCTTTTCTTTATATATTACAAATGCACAACCCGTTCTACCTGTGTTTGTCTGCACAGAACCATCAGTAAAAGCATAACATTCACTTGATTTAATACTCTCTATGTGACTGTTAATAGTTTCTTGTGTAACACATCTCACCACATTGGTGTTTAACATTTGCTTACTATTAACAGGAGTGTAATTAATAGGAAGTGATATATCCAGCTAAGGAGGAATGGCATTAATGGGTTCGTCTGGGGTGATTGGGAAATTCAGTTTCAAGAGATCTGCAACACTTTCATGAAGCCAAGCCCCAAAGAGAGTCTTTTGTGGAAGGTTAGCGAAATAGTCGGCTTTACTTAGATAGAACATCAACTCAGTTTGAGCTGTAGTTTGGGGACCATTGTTCTTCAAAACTTTGACACAAAATATGGTATTAAGTAGAGCTATCCTCTCAGATAAGGAGGGCAGTCCGAGATCTTTCCTCATGTTTACAATTCTGGTAGATTTGGGGCATCCTAGAATGATGCGCATGGCTTCATTTTGTACTACCGCCAGGCTGTTGAGTTGTTAGTTAAAAGATGAAGAGCATGATAATCAACTACAGATGGAATGAAGTGAAGATAGAAAGTACGAGCATAGGTGATGTTAATTCCATAGCTCTTACCAACAAGGGCTCTGAGAGGTTTAATGCGCTGCAATAGTTTGGCACAAAGGTTGCCAACGAAGTTCACATCATTCACATAAGTGAAAACAAAAAGACTTAAAATACCTTTCTCCTGATGAGGTCAAACTTTTTTCTGGAAAAGATGTGTACCTTTAGTATACAGTATTGAATAAAATGTGGAAAATTATGAAGTCTTGTAGAGTCAGTCCTGAACTTACCTGGAGTGGAACAATCTTTACAAATCGGACGGGAAACTGGTGACCTGAGACTGTGTGTTTTAATAGGAATGTCTCAGGAACTGTATCATTCTTCAAACCACTGAAAAAATAAAGAGAAATAACAGTTTACAATTATTCACTACAGTAACTAATATCAATCCACCATTCTCAACACAGCTCTAAAAGATTTCCCTAACTATGTACAGAATCACAAAGCAAATCCAGCTGAATCTGCAAACACTGTACTGTATACTCAATTCATGTTTCACCACTCTCGTCAATACCCATCTCCAAACACTACTCAAATGTGACAGTAAAACCAATGATCCAAAGCAAACATGTTACACATGAATCACCTAAAAACTGTGTCTACCAAAGGAAACAGTGAGAAAGCAAAGTGGAGGAACCTGATGTAGTTGGATTTAGAGTTGGAAGTTTGAATGTTGGTACTAATCGGGGAAGATCAGATCAAGTGAGGTTATTAACACACTGAGCCATAGAATGATGGATGAATGCTGTGTACAAAAAACTAGATGAAAAGGAAGATGACCAAATTGATTACTGGTTAGAACGAGAGGTGCTAAATCTTCAGGATCGGTAATGATTCTGGGTCAGGTGGTGTAGGGATTTTCATGCCTGAAAAGTGGATGGAGAAGGTGTTAGAAGTGTAAGAATTCTGGTTCTAAGTTATTAGTAGGTAAGAATCTAGTGACTATTGAAAAAAAAGTTGTATGCACTGGTATGACAAGTGTGATGCATGATAGTGAAACATGGGCAGTTAAAGAGGATGGCAGACATAGGCTTGAATGAAATGAATAACAATGATGCTGGATGTGTAACGAGATGTTGATAGATAAGAAACTCCATTCAAAGATAAGAGGGCACCTGGGTATTGAGAGCATTGGAGAGGTTTTGCACAAGGTAGGCTGAGATGGTTCAGGTGATGTGGAGAAGACCATTTGGGTCTAGATTCATGGGTTTGTCTGTGTAGGGGAGAGCCACGGGCAGGCCAAGAATGACAGGGGAGAGGTTGTGAGAAATTACCTCAGAGATAAGAACTTGATGAGAGAGGCTATGGACAGCTGACATCAGTTAATCACAGTTAACTCTCACAAGTGTAGAGAGTGGATGTAATATGGTGATGATAATAAAATAACATTCCAATCACATCTTTAGGCCCAGGGAAACTTGAGGTTTTCATCACATATCATCAAGATTTTACAGCCATTTTCCACACTTATGTGGGTTAAGCCATGGATCTGTTGACTACATGAGTCACCAGAGCTACATGAAAAGTTATATACAGTAATTAGTTCCCAACACAGCAACTGATAACTTGTATATAAGCAATCTTCTCATCGACTAAATATATATTTTCAACAGCTAAAATCTTGAATATATAAGGAATAACTACAGTATCTTCTTATAAACACAATTCCTAAATTTACTGTACCTTTCCAGTAAGAGTATCATGTTGTCATCTGAGAGTCCACCATATACACGGAATTTCTTAATATTGCATACGTGAGTTTTTTCATACTTGCCGAAGGTTATGGTCTTGAGAACAGCAGGTTGTTCTAGCTTCAAGATAAGGAACTGGAAAAGAGAAAGGTCTTGTCAGTTTAAAAAGAAGGGAGAGTGATGAAGACAAGTATAAAAAGTGAAATAAAAACACTACAGTACAAGCAAACAGACTGTACTCTCTCTCACTCATACACACACAGAGTGCTTTTTGTGTGTTTATGGCACAATCTTTATGCACAGGTCTTACCTGTGGAGGGTTGTTAGAATCAGATGACCACCGAGATGCCTGGTCATTTGGCTTGTCTTCGAGGATATTTCTGGAAATTCAAAAATAAGGAATTAAAGTATGAATGCACAGTACAGTCATACTGCCAAAACCATTTGGTAAACTCCACACAATCAAGGCCAAATTATATTTTGTTGCAAACAGCAGTTTCTTACCCAGTTGAATCAGCAGGGCTGCCGAATCATACTCGCCCGCTCGCCTGCAGCGAGTGGAAAATCCTTAGGGCAAGCCAGATTAAAAAATCACTAGCCCGACAGGCGAGTAGTAATTTTGCCTCATGTGAAAGTGAGAGACCTTGTAAGTAGAGCCTACAATTTTGAAAGGTTATATATTGAACATAATTTGTATTGTACAATTCTCTAATTTACCTCCAGTTTCTCTACAAAACTACATATTAAAAATCTATATTGATTGGTATAATAAAAAATAAATAACAATAAACATGACAATGTGTGCATATTGTTTATGACTCATTAGCTGATGCACTAACAATGAGTAAAGATTGATTAATACTACTGCATATAGATAAAATGTAAAAAAAAAAAAAAATTGCTTTACGAGTCATAATGACAGTGTCTACATAAATTTGACTAGTCCGCTGACTGCCCAAGCTTTAACAGTTCAACTCATTCACCCACAGAAAAATGGTAAAATTTTAGGTAAAATAATTTGAACAGTAGTGATGGTAACCCTCCCGGGAAGAGAGCAGAGGACAACTCCGACTAGCGTGTATTGCATCATCCATATCATAATCACAAAAACACATAGTGTACTGAAGTGAATGCTTAGGATGTCTATGATTAGCTGATGTATCTCGCAGTCTATTCCCTCAAACTCTAGCATCATGATGCACTCTTAGTTCATTGTCTGTTGCCATTGTACAAGTTTGTTTGCTCGCTCACTGCTGTTTTCACATACGATGTGTTGTTCGGAACTGTAGATTACTGTATATATTAAGACTTGAAAAGTGATTACAGTACTGTACAGTTACATACACTGTACATTCAGAAATTGTGAAAGTATCGTACATACAGTACTGTACAGAGCAGGGTGAACAGTGATGCCAACTGTAGGCTAATGTGTAGAGGGTATACATACAGTATACAGCACATGTACAGTTACCAGCAAAAGTTCTCCCACAGCCCTGTAAAGCAAGTTTGTGGGAGGACTTTTGCTGGCAACTGTACAATCCCTTCTTCATGCAAGGAGAGTAACAGTTAGCAACACCTTCTACAGTAGATGGTACAGGACAAAGGCAGGCCATCCTGTATCATCATATCACCACTTGGTTTCCCTGCACCACAAGCTCAAGAAGACAGCATCTGCTGGTAAGTACAGTACTATAGTGTATACAGTACAGTAGTATGTTAAGTTTATTTACTATAATGTACCTGTACAATAGTGTTTGGTTAAATTAATACAGCTCTGTGGCTGTCTGACTGCAGTTAAGCTTCCCTAGCAATGGTGCTCTGTGCCAGAAGCATAGTTTAGACTCCAACATTCACCAATGCCCAGAAAAATTCCATAAAAATGTGATTTTTTCCAGGGATAAGGATTCGTCTCAATACCCCGAAATCTCTTGAACACAATTGTTCCAGTTATTTGGAATATTACTGTCCAATATATATTATCAAATAGACAAGTAAAATTTTCCATACGTCTCACTAGATGACAGCACTGGTGTCTCGCAAAGAAAAGCCACACTTGCACCTACAGATAACTCATAGGATGCAATTACCACAATAAATCAATCCTAGATAAGCTGATCCACGACCAAAAGCAGAGGACGATCACCTCATTCTTTCCACCCATTTCTCCAGGTGAATGAAAAGAAAGTGTTTTTAGATTAAATATTCATGAAAAATATTTAATTTCTTTTTTTACATGTTTAAAATCAATCACATTTTTTTTTTTTCTTAGAAAAGCATTAAATATTTATAAAATGTTTCATTTCAGTTCCCAGGGAAGCATGACTATCAAGGTTATGAGGAGAGTTGTCTGCTAGCGAGGCTGCCAATGAGAATGAGATGGATGGTGTGATGTGAGTTGGTCTTTCATCGAGGTAGTCTGGCAGTGGGTCTGGTCGGGTGAAACTATCTTAATCTCTTGTGTACGGAGGTTCTCTCGGTCCTGTATAATATCATCTGACATTAGCCAAATGAAGTATTGAAGGTGTTGAATCAATTTTGGGTATATTTTTTTGGGCTCCAGTTCCAAACCCTGTACTGTATGTATATCCTATTGAAATACTGTACATAGATTGATATATACTGTATTGTAATCCATATTTCACAGTAATTCTTTGTAGCACTTTCAAGAATACTCGAGGATAGATATATACATATATATATATATATATATATATATATATATATATATATATATATATATATATATATATATATATATATATATATATATATATATATATATATATATATATATATATATATATATATTTTAATTCCAATTCTCCAATAATAGCTACTAACTTTTTAAAATTCATAATAAGAAGAGTAATAACAAGAAAAAAAATGGATATTTGAAAATTCCCACGCACAACATATCACTTGTTTGGCCAGAGTCCCGTGCTTAACTGCCAATACCTAGACACCTCAATGGTAAGCTTTGGCACTTGTAAAAGAAGGATCTGTTGCTAATATTAGTCTGTGGTATGTGATAAGTGTATGTGTAATAGCTTATATTTTGGAAATCATCATCCAAAAGATGTACACCACATGTCAACAAGGTCTACCCATAGTAGAGTGTGATCTTGACCATTACCACGAAAATTAAGATAAGTGTCTGGACAAAGGTGAAGGAGACAGTTACCACCAGAAATAACTTATGGAAATGAACCAAAATTTCTAGATACTAACTGCATGATACTGAACAAGAAAATGGAAGCGAGAATGCACAGAACCTATTACCTAACCTACCTAATCTCATCTAACTTCCTAACCTGTGCATTGTTGGTTCGATTTTCTTACTTATTATCAACCAAACAACATACATAATATACATAATACTGTAATCAATACGCCCGATGAGATAATTGTTCATTTCTTGACATGTAAACAAAGTCCGCAGATACTCCCATAAGTCAGATGATGCGAGCCAAAACATGGTCGCCAAGGGCAATCCAACGGCACCATAATTACGGTAAAGATTTTATTTCTTTGCCTAGAAAGGACGTAGGCATGAAACCCCTGCCACATGTTCCGTTTTCGTAGTGTTTATACTCCGTTACTTCCCTCTTCTTTCATGCCCTACTCACTAACAAGTAATTTATGATCAAAGGATAGGCTAAACAGAAAAAAATAGTACAGTGTTCTCATTTTTATTTTATTACTCGGTTTCATCCAAACACCATCTGAAAATTTGGTGCAATTCCATAAAGTCCTTCTGGTGCTAACTGTCTCCTGCATCTTTATCATAACTTATTATTATTATGCAATTTATTTATTCCCAACAGCAGCACGCCCAGGAAATAAGGTAAAACACTTTGCTAACCTAGTTACAAAAACTTTAGTATCAACCTGTCATGTTAATTTACGAAAACATATATGCATTATATATATGAGGGATAAGGACCTACAATTAATGCAATCTCATAAATTTTACTTATTTTCTAGTAATAAAAGAAAGTTTGATAGATTTAAAGAACCACACTACTGCTACTATATTTCAGATCTAGAGTTTTTCCAAAAGGTCATTTCACTCACAAATTTCATACTCAAACTCCTCGTGATAATTCACTTACTCTGGGACATAGTTGGAAGAATAAGTTGAGAATTTATGGATAGAATACTTAAGAGGTTGCGTGTTGTCACTAGCTGCCTCTGCCATTGTTGTTATGATTCGGGAACAGCTGTTTGGTGGCGGCGTTCGAATCTGCTCCTTTGCTGTGGCGGCAAACTTAAACTTGCTACGTTACACTTCAACCATACTACATTATTGATCTGCAATTTGTATTAATTACTTTAACGTGGGATCTCATTCATATGACTAATATACGTTTAATCCATTTGATCTCCGGCAAGGGCGTTGACCCCACCCAAATGTTTCTAAAACAGTAGAGATAAAGATTTTTTTATTATTTATCGTTTCACCACTTATCAGCTTACTAGTCGTTCGGACGGTCGACCACTGCACTGGAGGCAACCGGTGTACCAGGAGGAAACCTGTGATGTGTGGTAGTGAGAGTCACACTGACAACATTCTTACCACGTGTGTTCGGGATAAGCAGGACCCGAACTTTATGTTGTACTACCAAGCTTAGTCTACACTTGACAAGAGGGGACTTAATAGAATTTTAGTTGCAACTGTACAGTCAACCGCAAAAGTTCTGTCTCCTCTCCTCCTGAATCACAAACCCCGAGGTTCCCGTGAATCCAAAGCAGTAGACACTGATGCATTAGTCTGTCCACAAATGCTTCGGATTCACAAGTCTGAATCTCGGGGTTCGTGATTCAGTAGTAGAGGTGTGTAAAGTACATCAACAGTTTGAATTGAATTGAAACAGGTTTAAATTAAAACAAGCTATCAGTACAGAAAACTGTCAGAATTAACTTCTCGGTATTCTTTTGTTAATTTGCCTCCTTAATGGATGGGGGGGAGGGGCAGTACCCCATTGTTTATTGTAAATTTTTACTTCATTGCCAGAAAGTATAGTACTACCGCCAAGTGTTCGTATCTGGAGCTCTCGGTGACAACACCACTGGCGGTCACATCCTCAGGTTAAAGATAGAAGCAACAAGTACAGCGTAACATACGTATGTCTCACCAATATTTCAAGGGTTCGAGCCCGTACACATTTGAGAAGGGTGTTTATCCAATAACGTGACCCTACCAAACATCACAGGTTTCCTCCTGTATTAACACTAGGTAGATCAACCACTCCAACGGGTAAATAAGCAGTGAGATAATAAATAAAACTGTCAGGGCTAACTTCTTTGGAATAAAAGTTGTAAACTCCTGAAATACCGAGTGGAGTTCCTTTAAAACTGTACTTAGTTAACACTTGCACATATTGAGTTCCATTTTTCGTTCCTACGGCCAAGGTGGCGGTGTCATGCAGGACGAACAAAAGGAAAACTTCCTCACACAGAAGGTGGTAGACCTTTGGAACAGTCTACTAGCTCAAGCTGTGGAAGCAAAAATACTCCTGAGTTTCAAAATAGCTCTTGATCAAAAACAATGGAGGGATCCTACACAGGCCACTGGTCTCCTTCCCTCGTCATGGACACCTCTAGTTCGGGTGGCCATTAGGTACCGTACTTGTCCAATGCTTCCCAGCAGTGCATAACAGAGAACCGACTGACCTCTCTACCGGCAAGTGAAATGACCGCTTGCAAAGAGGATAAAGTAAAGTAAAAGTAAATACCTTTATCAAGGAGTCCGACCATGTTTGACTGAATCCACGGAATAGCCATCTTCGCTCACTTACTGAATACTATGTTTTTACACTTTCCCTTCCCTTCCCTTCCTCCATTCACTCTCCAGGCGATTGGTTGGTTGGTTGGTAGTCCAGGCAATATCTCAGGCACTTTTTAAGATAGGAAACTGAATTTGGGACACAATTACGACCAAGTGTTCTGACAAAAATTATTAATTTTATTCAGTTTATTTATTTAGTTTATGTCCTGGGGGGGGGGGGGCGTGTACAGTACATGGAAAGAATTGCTGCTACCTGTTGGATTTTCACCCCACTCGTTTTCTTTTTATTATCAATTATCAAAAGGGTAGTTACACCTCTCGTTCTTCTCTCGTATATCTTGTAACTTTATTGCATGTTTTACAGCAATTATTATTTGAGGGTTAACATCCACACTTCAGGATGCAGGCCGCCCTGTGACATTCCTATGGATACCCAGTCATGTCGGTATCTTGGGGAATGAGGCAGCAGATGACCTTGCCAAGACTGGCTGCAACAAGGCCACACCTGACTACGTTGTTCCTCGAACACTCTTACAGATTAGGACCCAAATCCGCCGCAAACAGAGAGAAGCTCGGGAAGCAGCCATCCCCCTGGACTCCCCGCCCACATGGTACGATGTCCTCCGTAAACTTCCTGACCTCTCGTACGTCTACGGGAAAGGGTCGCGGAAGGGGGACGTGATTGCTGCCCGTATCATCATTGGGTATGACTTTGCTTGGGAGATTGGTATCCCCACATCCCCTGAGCAACGCTCTTGTGCGTTATGCAGAAGACCCGACAGCCGCACCCTTATTCACTACCTCCTAAGATGTCCCCACACACAACGCTTCCGTGACGCCTGCTGGACCACCACTCCACGACCCCCTGACGGAGACACGATGATCCTCCCAATACTGGCCAGATATTTTGTAAATAATATTGGTTATGTGTTAAAGGAACATCCTTCCTTCCTTAGGCTTTAGTAAGCCCCTTTATAATATTTATACTGTATATACTTTTCACACTTGCCAGATGCTTCTGGTGTCATTGTACAGGGGTACCTAGTGACAGCACTAGGATCCCGCTTCCTCTATCAAGGAATAAACAATTGAAATTGAAAATTGAATTATTATTTGTAAATAATATAGTGTTTAATCAATTCTAAGTCTTGTTTGTTGTACTCTATATTTTCAGTGTTGGAACCTAACACGATAATTTATATAGTAGTGACAGTTCTCTAAACAATGTTGTTGTGTCAAATGTGAAAATCTCAAAATAATTTTTTATGTGAGTTTAGATGTAGTGTATGATAGTAGATTCTTATGTACAGTATTATTCGATTTTTATTTTTTTGAGTTTCAAGTCAAGTTCACATAGAAACAATCTAAACTACGATCACTACAATATTTTTTTTTGCAATACCAAAATTGATTCGCTTAACAGCTACATTTCAATACCTATGTTATGAAGTGAAAATATTAGGGAATGAATACACCATTTTGTTTCATTATCTTTATGATATTATGTATACTGCTGACAACAGTGGATAATTAAACACACTATCGTTGCATCGTAATTTATAACCGAAATATCTCGGTACAAATAGTTAAAAGTAATAAAAATACATAATACGGTACCATTATTATATATATTTGTTTAACAGGTGGTCGCTCAAAGATAGGGATTATTCCACTTTACGATTCATATGTAACTCGTCTAGTGATAAAGACAGTTGAGGATAATTCTACACAAATTTACACTTTTATCAGCTGGGTTACATGAAATACCCGAGGCTGGTGATGATTACATAAACTTTTACATAATTGCACCTCATAGGCATCCCAAATATGAATCTGACGGGTAATATTATACATACTAGGCTTCCCTTCTCCTGGAACCACTTGCTGAACACTACTTGCCATTAACACTACCTCACCCGACAATGGAATTCTACTATAAAAATACCTCCTCAAGCCATCTGGACAGAATGAATATCATATATATATAAAATTCACTACTTGGCAAGACACATATTGCCTACGGGTTATACTTATCTATATCAGCAACTTCACACACACTTCCTCTCATCTCTGAACACTGCACCTTCCACACCATCCAGATTTAGGCATACTTTAGAAAATATTAGACTTTGAGCGTAGCTTAGGCTCATCCCTCTTCACTTGTACTCTTCTAAACACATCCACCTCAGAAGGGACCCAATTCTGGAACCCATTAGTGAATGAACGCACCCAGGACACACATCTTTAAACGCACCCGTATTTGAGCGCACAGACTCCACTGCAAGTTTGATTGATCCCTTATCACTTCGGCCCAACAGAGACAACAAATAAAGTGATTCTGTATTAAAAAAAAAAAAAAACGCGTCAATTTTTTTCATTACCTACAAACTTGGATGAAAGACAATCAAAGTAAACTATGCGTCCACTATTCTAGTACCATCTAAGTGTTTAGTCTTCAGTCAATAAGATGGATATTGTACGAATACACAAAATAGGTCATAACAACAAAATAACACATACAAAATAAATGAAATCTGAAAATATAAAGTATCTTCCTCAGTTCCTTTATGGTATTTGTTGTCTAGTGTTTAAACTTAGTATAAGCGTTTAAAGACCTTATTTGTTCAACACAGAAATACAGGGAACCTACAGTATGGTACAGTATACAGTACAGGAAGTACAATTTTATGAAGTTACCATTAGTTGTTATTAAGTGTATGAAATGATTTCGTGAATATGATTAAAGACTTTAGCTGATGAAGCACATAAACACAAACACAAACACAACAGATATCAAGTAAACACGACAAAGAATTTCCATCCGATTGGGTTCATTTGGTAAATCTTTGAATGTAAAGATACATATGCGAAGACGATTTACAGCGTCAAGTAACGAGCATACAGTAATAATGTTTGTTGTCGGTAGATAAGACTTCAGCGTTTGTGTTTAAGAGTGGCCTCAGCCGGTGCACCTCCAGTAGTCTGGCGATATACTGGCGACCTCAAACCTGCCCTACAGGCTGCTGCTCTCCCGCCTGCTGAGGCTTGTACAGCTTCACCTCCGCCGCCCTCAGGGGGGAAGGGTCTTCCTTGTTTGGAATCACCAGACCATTGACCTTCAGGGATCCATTGGCAAGCTCCTCTGATTCATCCTTGTTTTTAGGGCCAAGATCGAAGCACCGACAGAAGTCGTACCTGAGACCAGGAATTAATTAATTAATTCGTGAGAGCAAGAAATGAAAGGTAGGATTTTCTTTGTATGTACAGCCTAAGTTAAGTTATTCCTTGCGATGACTGAGCAATTTTTTAGGAGCCTCACTTGCTGATGACTTATGAATGGTAATGTTTGTTAAGCATGAGCAGGAGTGGTGGGTTACCTGGCAGGCAGGAGGCCGCGCGTGAAGATGGCCTTGGCGATGGCAGAGGCCACAATGAGGCTCATGAGAGACACGGACATCGCCACCGTCCTGAAGGGGAAGTTCTGTTGGCCCAGCACCTCATCATAGAAGGGGTAGTGAATGGTCGCCGGCACACCTATGTACGGCTCTCCACCTGAGGTAATAGAGACAAAATTATAATCGTCCAAGAAAAGTCAATCATAATCACATGTTATTTGGCAAGACATATTTTTCCAGCCCAAAACGAGTCAACCATTTACTCGTGCACTTTACTACTGTTTCTCTCTCTTCTATTGTAGGTGAGAGATGCAACAGTGTTATCTAGGTGTCAGCTGTAAAGTGAAACCTCCATATAATGGACTTCTCTCTATATATAATACGTTAAAAGGGGTTCACATCTAATGGATCCTCGATATAACGGACTTTCATACCAATATTGTTCGTTAGATAGTGGTGGGCCGTCACTTCAAATCTAAAGAACCCTTGACATAATGGACTTTCCTCTCCATATAGTCCTATTAAATAAATGTTTCACTCTGAAGCAGTTAAGACACACGACAAGGCAAATAAAGACGTTTACAAGTCTTACCTAAGAGTCGTACCAAGAAGCCAAGGCAGAAGGCGATGAAGGAGCCGTAAGTATTGACGTACTCCCGGAAATGGACCACCATCAGGAGTTGAGGAAATAGGATCACGTAAACAAGATCTCCACACAACTTACTGTAGACAAACAGAAAAATAAATCCCATTAAGACCTTGAAATGGAGTTGAAGTGTAAAGAGGTAAAAAAAACGTAAAAAAAAAAAATGCCAACACAGAAAAAAGTGATTATGGACGTTTAATGATGCTTAGCTATATAGATTTAAGGAAGACATATACAGATGATAAGGTAAACACAAGGTCAGCTATTTGTACAATCAATGAGTCAGAATTGAATTTTTAAAAACCTATTATAAGGAAGTACAAGGGATACAGGGAAGACAAATATGAGGTAAATGTTAAAGCAAATGCGAAACTGTAATTTTTTTCTTCTCGATATTAACAATAGAGAAAAGATATACAGTGGAAAGACAACAATACATTTGTCACTCTCTACTAGTTGAATATTCTACAGGATGAGCTAAATGTGGCAGCAACAAAATCATCAGTGACTCATGACAAACAAGAGATCACTATTCACAAATAATATATAAATAAATAAAAAAAATATTATAGAACGAATTCCCCAAGTTATCCAATACTGTTCTCGTTACTACAGCGTGTCAGAAACACCTACCTAAACTACACCAACTGAATGATAATAATATGTAAAACCTTAAGCTGACCTGTAGTAGTAGTGGTGGTGGTGGGTGCTCTAAGCTGACCTGTAGTAGTAGTGGTGGTGGGTGCTCTAAGCTGACCTGTAGTAGTAGTGGTGGTGGGTGCTCTAAGCTGACCTGTAGTAGTAGTGGTGGTGAGTGCTCTAAGCTGACCTGTAGTAGTAGTGGTGGTGGTGGGTGCTCTAAGCTGACCTGTAGTAGTGGTGGTGGTGGGTGCTCTAAGCTGACCTGTAGTAGTAGTGGTGGTGAGTGCTCTAAGCTGACCTGTAGTAGTAGTAGTAGTGGTGGTTGCTCTGATATCTTCCTCTACCAACTTGTGTTAGACTCAGGATCCCTAAGTTCTGTATGTAGTAGCCTACCTTATCATCTCTGAGCTTAACTACTGTATATGCACTATTGAAGGTCTTTTAAGAGTTATCATAACCGTCCTGGATATAAACACCTGATAACTTTGTCTTCTATTCTTGGTCAAGTTACCTCATACGGTTTACTATTCTTGTTTACCTGCACTGTCTCGCTATACGGCCTACCTGCACATTGTCTATATCTATGCAGATCTATCTTACTGTCTGGTTTGTATGCATGCCTATCCAATTGTAAAACTGTAAGACAATTTTACTGAATATTATCATTATCATAATATTCTTGCAACAATGGTCATCCTCACATTACTCTCAAACACCATCTTTTCTCGTTTTTCTTTTAATCTTTCTTTTCCTATTTTCTGCTTCGTCCTTCTACCTAAATTTTGCTTATTATTTTACCACAATCTAGAATATGTATGTACTGGGTAGGTAGCGAGTGTTTCACCTACGTCATGGTCTAGCCAACACACAGCTACTTTACTAAATGATACGAACACTGTTTTTGGCTATCCCTAACCCCTAAATTATTTACGGAAGCTTCTGCACCGTGTACTCTACCCTAAACGTAGATAATGGCCATGTAAGATAAGAGACAGTATTCTATAAACTTTATGATGATTATTTGTTCACATGTATTCTTAGCTAGTTTTCATATTCTAAAGTCACATCCACTCGGTAAATTTAGTGAAAAATATCTCCAAACATTATTCTAAGCTATAAATTGAACTATGAACTGAATTTAGTTGGTAAGTTTAGAAAGGTAATCTAGTCACAGGTGAATGAATGCCTTGGGGAATCGTAAGTAACTTCATAAGCCATATATGTTCAGCTGACCACTGGCAGGAGCTGCATCAGGGGAACACTTGTAGTGGCAGATGAAGCCAATCAGAAGGATGAAGCAACACAACTGCACATCAGAGTATTGTCGCCTGAGAACACGAGATGCCCCGGGAGATGACATGACTGAGGTGCTGATCGATATGACATGAGTGTTGGTGCTATGGAAACATGATACGACGTGATAGAGCCATGGTAATATCAAGAGGCGTGACAGGACCATGATAGTGTCATGGAAAGTGACAGTTGCTTGCTGGCAGGAGAAGTGAGGAGGGATGGCACTCTACTTAACCAGGAGAGAGCCATGTGTGTAAAGATGCATGAATGGTAAGGGCTAACTGATGTAGTTATAGGAGTATCTGTTGAGAGTGTGACAGTTTAATCTGTAAGAACAGTGTCCATTCAATTATTGAATGGTATGAGTGAACAAAAATACAGTAGAGAGGAAGTGTTTTGAAGAGGTTTCAGGACCTCTGAGGTCTAGTTTGTGTGGCCGAGAGAAGCTGAGATGTGCAAGAGTGCGACATTTATGAATATATGAGTGATTATAGGAAGTGTCTACGAGGAATGATGGTGAATGATGCGAGTCTTGATATGGTATGAATGGTTCACATGTCACAATGGCATGACATGAATGACATGAACTGAGTTGACTTAAGAAGTCGATGTATGGCAGCAGTGATACAACGGGTGTTTCTGGCGAGGATTGGGTGATGGTGACGTTAGGGTGGTCATGAACGTACAACCAACGGCTCAAGTGCGAATACAAATGCCGCAGCAGTGGCTGCAAGACCTAGCCGGCAGCTTGAGTGACGGGGCTCTTGTCGCGGCGGGTTGGTGGTCACCCGGCACGGTGTTCACCGCTGCCCGGGCTGAAACATACGGAAACACACACCACAAGTTTTTAACCAAGCTCAGCTGGGTCACTGAACTGCTCATGTGACCAGGTCCTGCGCCAGCCCCGCCTACCAACACACACCACCACGCACTCCCTTACTTCATCTTCACCACCTCGTGCATTTTGCATTTTCCTGCCTGTGTGTTGCCACCATAACATTAAGATAAGGCAATTATAAGGCTTTAAGGAAAATGGGTTTTTATGCCGTGGTTTATGTGCTGTTGAAGTTAATTAGACTGCAAGGAAAACCAATCTTTGATGCTATGGCTTCACGCTAAGTCAGGACTATGTGGAGTGATTTATTTAAGGACGTGGTGAGTGTGATGAAGGTTAACCTTCACGGGCGGGGTGTGACTGGCGCAGTGATCTCTGACCCAGCGCAGTGACTCAGAGCTCCCACAACTCTTACTGGTGAAGGAATGGTGACGTCACACTTACTGAGCAACGTCACTCACGCTGTTCAGTCTCACAGACTTCACTTACTCGTCACCATTCCATCACTTACAATTTTTCTTATGAACTTCTCAACAAAAAAAATAATAATCCTGGAGTTTGACAGACTAAGGCACTTGTTAGTTCCTTCGTCAGACAAAAATATATAAAGATGTTTTGTAAAGCTCGTCTATCGTTTCACGTAAGTCTGGTATGACGTCTTGTGTGTGTACGGTTAAGAAAATGTACAGTATGTGTGTACTGGAGTAACATAACGAAGGGTGGACACACGACTGACGTGACGCCAGACACCGTTAAAAGGACACGAGCAAAACATTAGTTGGTTAAGTCTTGAGTCTGACTGGTGGGAGACGGGGAAGCTTAGGTGGGTCATGCAGGGTGGGTGATTGGGTCACTGTCTTTTAATAAACCTTATTGGGTAAGTATCAGATCAGGAGGTGACCTTGTTGTAGGCTATGGGTAATTGCAGTAAGTAAATACCAGACCAGGTAATCTTGTTCCAGGTTCAGGGTAAGTACAAAACCAGGAAGTGACTTGGTGTAAGGTACAGGGTAAGTAGTAAACCAGGAAGTGACTTGGTGCAGGTTCAGGGTAAGTAGTAAACCAGGAAGTGACTTGGTGCAGGTTCAGGGTAAGTACAAAACCAGGAAGTGACTTGGTACAGGCTCACGTTGAGTACAAGACCAGGACGTGACTTGGTGCAGGTTCAGGATAAGTACAAGACCAGGACGTGACTTGGTGAAGGCTATGAATGAGTGCCATAACAGGAAAAGAATTTGGCGATCTTAATTTTGCATGATAGAGGACAAAACAGACAGGTCAACCAGTACACTTCATCAATTTGCTTCCGTGACTTCCGAAATATATGACATCCCTGGAAAAGATCCAACACAAAACAACTAAGACGATTCCTGAACTATACTGTATCATCTTGATCATTCAAGTAGACTGAATTTAGGACTACCAACTGTTGAGACAAGACACACTAGAGCGGATCTCGTAGAGGCATTCCAAATCTTGAAAAGGATGAAAGACAAATCCAGACCAATTTTTCGTGAAGTCACGCATCACCAACATGAGGGAACACAGCTTCAAGCTCGCCAAGGTGTCATGCAGGATGAATATAAGGCAATACTTCACACAGGGGGTGATAAATGTAGGGAACAGTCTGTACCAACTCAAATTTGCGGAATCGATAACAGTACTGGGCTTCAAAATAGCCCTTGGCAAGACTCTCAAGAACAATAGGGGGATCTTACACAGGCCACTGGCCTCCTTCCCTCGTCATGGCCGCCTTTAGCTTCGGTGGCCATCAGATATATCCCATTCCTTCTCTCAAATTACTCATTTTGTCTCATTTCTACTACTATCGAAAGGAGGAGTGTCTGCAGTTGTACTGTTCAAATGTCTACCTTTAATTGCTGCCTCTAAACTAAACCTTTTTTTTTGCATTCAATGAGACAGAGTGGTTGGCTCTTATCTCGACCGCCTTCACTTTCTCCTGTTATAAAGTTAGATATCATTCAGAGACCCTCAGAGCGCTATACAGATCAGCCGCCGCACCACTCTGCTGCCTATACTGTTTACCAATTCATGATAGACCATATTGAGCCCAGCGGTAAGGCTTAACGCATTCCTTCGTCAGAGTCCCTCCGCTAAATCTGAGGCTTTTGTAATTTCAGTGTTGACGTTGTCTGCTGACTGAAACATTCCTCCCGACGCTAATCCTCAACAACTTGCACCTCACTCCTCCCTCCAGGACAGCCACACGCAGCTAAACAATAACATTCCCGACCGCCCTAGAGACGCCTCAAATACCCTTAACCATTTTTCCTAATTAATCACCCAAGCCTTGATGTCATCCTTGCCTCTTCAACTCTACGTTCTACTCACCGTTTTCCTTCTATCTTAGGTTCTCCATCATGGGCTCTCAAAGATTTTCATCCAAATCCTACACTCTCTAACATCTCAACAGGGCTACTTGGGAAGTACTATTGCACATTTTGACACAAAGCAAGGAAAAGGTTTTGTGTACGTGTATCCACCAAAGCTAATGGACAACTTATGGATGAGTAGTGTGTGGGGGGGAAGGGCCGGGTATGGGTGAGTACAGGCCACTCCGTCACTCGCAGTGAGGAACGCTGTGCTGTACCTGTCACCAACGGGCACTCCCTGCCTGTGAGCCAGTCACCCTACCACAACCTGGGACTTGGTTAGGATTGGCGTCCCACATGTCTTTGATGTATCTATTCCAGATCAAATTAGCATCTACTGGTATAATAATTTACATTGGATTGATGTAACTAATGTTATTACTGTGTTGATGTTAGCGCACTGCACACAATGAACGATGCTTCAGGGAGCCACCAGACAACTTTGTATAATGAGCGTGTAGGCCTCTGTGTACACATCCAGCACAGACCAAAACATTAAGGGAGAATGTTGATATTACTTAAGGAACTCTCAGCCGTATTGTGTCGCCGTCAGCTCACACAGATAAGTCAACCCCGTCAGCACTGAAGTTGCTTACTGATATTAACCATCTCTTACGTTCCGAAAAATGAATAAGTTTATATTATTCATAAAACCTTCCAAGTGCATTAAAGGTAAGACACCATAGTTTATTTATGAACAGGTGTGGCAAATCAAGTGAGTCACTTTGTTTTAGTCTCAATATGACTCTTATGGACTGTTAACTAAAATAAGATTCTGGCTGACACAGAGACGGAACACAGACAAGAGTTGACGGTTATAAAGTGTGAGGCTGACACCACCACCGGCTGTACTGTACGTCTGACCTACACACCCACTCACCTGCATCAAGTTGACTTTTGTCGCTCACACACACAGCCGTAAAACATTTCTTTGAAGGTTGAAAACTGTGTAACAATGTCAAAGCAATTAACACATTCGAATTTCTTAGTATTATCACAAGTTTAAACAACGAATGATATAATCTCTAGAGGGTCTAATACTTTTTTTACACAGCTACGAAAAACTTCATTTGGTGACTAGGAGAAATGTGAAGCAAAGTACCTGAAAATGTATTACGGTAAATGAAGCATTATTCACAGTGTTGGGGTGTACTGTAGGTTTAGGGGGGCGCTATTTTAACAACCTATATATATATATATATATATATATATATATATATATATATATATATATATATATATATATATATATATATATATATATATATATATATATATATATATATATATATATATATATATATATATAATGTACAGTACATGGTCTATACAACACACATGGTAAAAATAATTATTATCAAATGCACCTATAATATTATATATATAAAAAACCCTCATGAGGTAGGTAAGTGATGAAAATTAGACCTATTCTTCAAGAACATATATATATATATATATATATATATATATATATATATATATATATATATATATATATATATATATATATATATATATATATATATGTGTGCTGATAACCACAAGGAAAGAAGAAAACACGAAGTTCCCAAGCGCTTTCGTGTAATTCACATCTTCAGGGGTGAGTACAGACTGTAATCACCCCTGAAGATGTGAATTACCTACAGTGATTTACTTGCATATATATATACACATATATATATATACTGTATAAGAATATATATATTTACAGTATTCCACGGAGACTTACTATAGACTACAACTTACACATCCACACTGAACGAGGCAAGACATGGCTGAAACAACCAAGAATGTCAATAAGCTCCTGGACACAAATTTGAAGAGTTTATGCAAATGTTTATAACTTCAAGTAAGAGTGACAACAATGAGAAAGTAATCCTCTTAAGAGAAATTGACTTTGACAAAAATATAGGAACCATCATGAATATAATTATCTGTTTACATATTAACAAACATAAGGATTGTTTTTTATGTTAATGTAAACGTAGATTTTTTTCTGGTGATGATTAAATCTTAATCTAGGTAGTCATGCAGTGGGACTTAATATTGTCATGCACTTCTACTAAAACCTGGTCACGTTAAATTCAACCTTCACTTGAACGCAGTACAAAAATATCACCAACTTACTACAACACAGCACTATATTGATTCCACCTACTGATATTTCCATGCTGCATACTGTCATTAACTGGTGACCATGCAGCATACTGTCATTAACTGGTGATCATGCAGCATACTGTCATTAACTGGTGACCATGCAGCATACTGTCAGTAACTGATGGTCATGCAGCATAATGTCATTAACTGGTGATCATGCTGCATACTGTCATTAACTGGTGATCATGCTGCATACTGTCATAAACTGGTGATCATGCTGCATACTGTCATTAACTGGTGATCATGCTGCATACTGTCATAAACTGGTGATCATGCTGCATACTGTCATAACTGATGGTCATGGAGCATACTGTCATTAACTGGTGATCATGCAGCATACTGTCATTAACTGGTGACCATGCAGCATACTGTCAGTAACTGATGGTCATGCAGCATACAGTCAGTAACTGGTGGTCATGCAGCATAATGTCATTAACTGGTGGTCATGCAGCATAATGTCATTAACTGGTGATCATGCAGCATACTGAAAGTAACTGGTGGTCATGCTGCATAATGTCATTAATTGGTGATCATGCTGCATAATGGCATTAACTGATGGTCATGCAGCATACTGTCAGTAACTGGTGGTCATGCTGCATACTGTCAGTAACTGGTGGCATACTGTCAGTAACTGGTGGTCATGCTGCATACTGTCAGTAACTGGTGGTCATGTTGCATAATGTCATAAATTGGTGATCATACTGCATACTGTCAGTAACTGGTGGTCATGCTGCATTCTGTCTTTATGTATCATAATGACTTCAGCATTTAAATAGTGAATTTGGCAGCACTAACCCGTTGAAGAAATAAGTAACATAAACACAGTTACAGCTAGTAGGTAACAGTAACACAATTAATACTAATAGGCAACAGTAATGTATTAATGCATAATAATATGAACCAGTAGCATTTAGGCTTCGTATTATCTTTTCTTTAGTAATTTTCTATTTAACACACACACACACAACAAACATTTAAAGAAACATAAAACACAGTGTACTCGTGCATAAGATAGCGCTTACAAACACATAAGACGTCACAGTTATAAGATACGACTTCTGGCTCTAAGGTGACACGACATGGTTAGGTAACACACTTCCGTTATCTGTGAGTGTTTGCTAGCTCACAGTGACGCCACAAGAAGCCAAGGTTCAGAGGTAAGGCTTGAGGATGATAGATCACACCCAAACCAAGCGTAGGAGAAAATATGGTAGAAGATATGAAATGTGGTTTTAATTAGACGTGGGTTTGTCTGTCACGCAAATGGGGACAAAAATCATGAAGGCATCAGTTGGACTAGGCTTGTACGATGCAAAAATAATGGACAACAAACATTAAGTAGAGTAATATAGTACTATTTGTATGCCATAATATACCAACTGACCAATAGAGTAGTATGAACCTTGACTAGGCTTGTTCGTCACATATTACGAGAAAACAAACATTCTGTAACCGCTCAACAAGATTGGTTATACTTATCACAGATTCGTAACAACAAACACATGTAATAACTTGCAATTACTACCGCAAAGAAAAAACTATCCACTTATTTACCACGAAATTTTTAACTAAAGTCACCGTGCGTACTGTTGTTATCAGTCGGGAAAAATAAATTTGTGGGAAGCAATAGAGATAACATGCACATTCACACATTTTGTTTATTTTTTTTCACTTGGAATAATTCACCCGCCTACCTCTAGTGTTAATACTGACTAAACATAATTCAATCTCAAAGACAACTGACACAAAAATCAGCTTGGTAAAAATTCGTTACAGTATTTCATTTAAACGGGGATTATTTTCTCACTAGCATTGAAGAGCAGTATAAAGCTATTTCTGACAATATTAATGACACACAATTGAAGGATTCTGTCTGCCTTTGAGATGTCTTGAAACTCTTTTCCAGATAATTTAGTCAAGTTTTGCATTCAGTTGTAAGAGTGAGGATGGTGTCTAACCTCTAGGGTGTTCGTTCAACTCATATAAAGGTTGGAGATGTTCTAACCACCACTATACTAATTAGCCAGGTATACAGTATACCTGGAAAGTCATGCAAAAGACGCGAAAATATTCACACGCTAAAGATAATAAAGAAGATGTCGGTAGATAATTGGCTATATACGGTAAGGTTAAGCAGAAGGAAATATTTTTAAATGCAGCAACGGATGTCAAAACAGTAGTAGCTGCGACAGGAGGAGAGTGAGGACGGCAGACAGGGGAACTTACAACAGATAATATATACTGTGGATGAGGATGCCTATAGTAGAGGCAATGGCCGCGATCACCACAATGGCCGCTCGCATCACCCAGATCACCTCTCTCTCACTCGCCTGCAGGAGAAACTCGGGTTAGTAGGACTCCTGCAGCGTCCCTATAGTGTGAGTTACTGTGGGACTGAATGGGTTTGATGAGACTGTGTGGGTTATTGTGAGACTGTGTGGGTTACTGCGAGACTGTGTGGGTTATTGTGAGATTGTGTGGGCTACTGCGAGACTGTGTGGGTTACTGTGGGTGACTAAAGTAACCACATTTTCAAGACCCCACTTTCTTCTATGTTTACATCACCATATAGACACAAGAACAACACACCTACAATAATGGCTCGACTTACTTCTTGTCTGAAGACGTTTTTGTAAATATTTCTGGCGAACATCGATGAAGCGGAGAGGACAGAAGAATCGGCTGAGGACATGACAGCTGCACTAACGGCTCCCAGACCAATGAAGGCGACCCACTGTCAACAACACAACAGGTTATGTTCCCTTCTGGGCATCGTTGTCAGATATTTCCTCAACATACTTATTTTTTTTTAGTTTTCTTCAATATTATGGATGAGAAGTGTAAAATAAAGAGTTACGACTCAAGCAGAAGAGATAATGAAGAATACGATGGGTGGTACAGATGGAATTGGGAATGAAAGTGAGGGAGAAGTGAGGGAGAAGTGGGCATGAAGGGAGAAGTGGGCATGAAGGGAGAAGTGAGGGAGAAGTGGGCATGAAGGTAGAAGTGAGGCAGAAGTGGGCATGAAGGTACAAGTGAGCTAGAAGTGGTCAAGAGGTGGAAGTCTTACTGGTGGTGTAAGGTGCTGCATGACGAGGGGCAGCACCAGCTTCACTTGGTAACCCTCTGGCGTGTGGCCGTAGTCTGTCTGGCTCCAATCTGCCAAAACACACATATTCAGTTCCCGCCATCATGGTCGGGAGGTCCGGAGCTAATGTGGAAGATTAACGCACAGATAAAGCATGAATCAGTTCCCGCCGTCATGGACACGAAAATGGGTCAGCTCTCACTATCCAGCCTTACAATCTCTTACAGCCGCTACAACATTAAGCAAATTTGTCTTTTTCTTGGCCATTTGGTTAACATAAATTTGTCAGCAAAATCAATATGTGTATCTAACAGTTTTATTCTATGGTGTATAGCTCATTTAGTTACAGTAAGACAGGTACGGGTGCACTACAAATGTAAACACGAGCATTAAGATTTCAGAAGATATTACACTAGCGTAACCTTATGTGTACTGACGGAGGTTCTACAGTAGTTTTCATTCTTTTGCGGTGGAGAACCTGGAGGAGGGGGGGGGGGAAGACTCAGCTCAGGAAGAACCTAACTGGGAGGAGAAGGAGGAGGAACATACCTGAGTTACTACAGGAAGGTCGTACCTGTTGCCTTGGCGATAGCACCGATGATGCAGGCGGGGATGGCACTAATAATGCAACCGATTGATGCGGTTAAGGACAGGATCTGGGCGTGTTTTGGAGTCCGGGAGGAGAGGACGCGCTGGAAGTACACCTGTAGAAGTAAGACTATACATTATACATAGGTTCTTCCCGGGGTGGTTATACTTCACGTTATCTGCCAAATGTATACGCTGAGGCTGACTGAACTCGTGTTATTGTGACTCTGATAAGATTTAGTAGTGGGCTGAAGGTAAACCCTGGACAACATTCCTTTAACCACAATTTCTCTGTTAAATAAGGTTAGGTTAAGTTAAGTTAGAATTACTCAGGTAAGGTTAGGGAACAAGTCAGGTTAGCTTGGGATACATTAAGTGAGATTATAGGTTTGGACTTTCTATGATAGACTATTCTTACCAGCAGCCCCCCACACACACACAAGGCTCCCAAGGACTCACCTGCCAGGGGATACCGCCGCAGATGAGTAAGAGCCAGTAGTCTATCCACAGTCCCCATTCAGGCGAGTAAGGTTCAATGGAGCCTACCCAGTTAGTCTCATTTGGGGCCAGTGAGCCCACCGCCTCGTTCATCATGGAGAAGGGCACCGCCAGCCACTGTGGAGAAGGACATACAGTCATACACACACACACACGTATACACAGATGGTCTTAATCCACGAGTTGTGTTAAATGCAGTAAATTTAGGGTATATCAGACCATTAGACCAGACACCTACCAGGCCAAAGAAGATAAAGAAGAGCTGCACGACGTCTGTGTAGGCGACGGAGTAGAGGCCGCCGAAGAGAGTATAAGTGACGGCAATGGCAGCGCTCGCTAAGATAGACACAGTGTTGCCGATGTTCAGAATAACTGCCAGCGTCGAGCCTGTGGTGGTGGAGGAGGGTCACCAGGGAGGGAGGTAAGGAGGAGGGCAGGTTGGAAGGGAGAGGGAGAGAGAGAGAGAGAGAGAGAGAGAGGCAAGCAGGCAGGGAAGGAGAGAGGGAGGGAGTAAGGAGGGTGGTAGGAAGCGAGGTAGAGAGAGAGAGAGAGAGAGACAGGGAGGGAAGGAATAATCACGAAGGGAGGGAGAGGAGCAGGCAGGAAGGAAAGCAAACAAGGAGGAAGCCATGGAGGGAAGGGAAGGCAGAAGTGGAGAGGAAATTGAACAAAAGAATATGAAAGAGGACACGGAAAAAAAGAGTACAACATTAATATACACATCAGTAGGCGGGATAACACACAACAATAACAAAAACAATAGAATTTGAAGTTTAGAGAAGGAAATTTAGTAAACAGTAAAATAAGGAATAGACGGAGAAGAGAAGTGTCAGGTAATGAAAAGAAATTTATATGAGTTTTCGGTTCAAATTTCACAGCCATAGAACAATATTATTCGAAAACTTAACTAATTACATGTTTTTGAATGCATAAAACACACCAAAACAAATACATGTGATTAAAAAAAAAATCCCCCAATTGTTTTTGTTTATATTAATGAGTCAACACGATAATTAAAGTTTATAAGGTTATTGTTTTTTTTCACACAAGATAAATTACACATTTACCAAGAGCGGAGAGAATGGCTGCCGACCAGAATGTCTCGCCCAGGAGAGCCGGGAAGTAGAGGAGGCCGCCCATGCGTCTCCCGAAGGCGTTCTGCAGTGGGTCGAGCATAGTCACGTATCCTGCCTTCCGCATGGGCTTAGCGAAGAACATCCCACCTGGAGAAAAACATGATTGGTTAGACCTTTTCGATGATATACCCTATCACAACAACACCTCGCCACTATCTCCACTGCATCCATGTAGCCCCACCCTGCCATAATCACCCTACCGTCACCACCCCAGTCATATTCTTTCCTTTACTCGTCCATCCCCCTTCCAAGCCATACCCCTGCTAACCAAATCCTGCCAGTCCTTAACCATTCCACTCTCTTTACTCTGTGACTTCCCCTGCATCCTGCCATCTCACCCTGCTACATCCCTTGCTTTCCAGAGAGAGAGAGAGAGAGTGAGAGAGAGAGTGAACGCCTTAGCAGACTAAACACTTTGTTATGTTCTCCAGCGCCTCTCTCAGCCACAACACATCGCTCGAATCAACCCTCTGCCAACTCCACCACCCCCCGCCCCAAAACCCCGCCAACCAACACATAATGCGTCAGCCTCCACCCCCGCCCCACCCCATAACCCCGCCAACCAACACATAATGCGTGTCAGCCCCCCCCCCCCCGCCCCAAAACCCCGCCAACCAACACATAATGCGTGTCAGCCTCCACACCCTGCCAAAAACCAACCACTACACACTTCTCACAACTCGAAGCCACAAACCCTGCCTCCTCCAGACAGTTCCCATACCCTGACACACCCTATACACGTACCCCACCATTAAGCCATCTTAAAACAGGATCTCCTTTAACCCTAGACATAACCTAACCTAACCTAATTACCCCAGACTTACCCTAACTTAATCCAGCCAAGTTATCCTATCTGAACGGCCTTCTCTCACCCCTTTTTAACCTTGTCAATGTCCTTGTGATTAATTCTCCCTGACATGAGAGAGAGAGAGAGAGAGAGAGAGAGAGAGAGAGAGAGAGAGAGAGAGAGAGAGACCAGGATATATCTCCACTTCCCTATACACACACACACACACACACATCACTCGGCAGTTGGAGACGCATGCAGGTGGAGGCGCCACTATGGGGCCAAGAGTTCTATTTACCTTTAAAGAATCACACGTTGGTATTTGGTTGAGTTTTAGTTTGCTCCAGTGTGTGTGCGCCCTTACTGTCTTAACTGATAATATTTACCCGCGTGAGATTGTTTTTTATGACAATTTCTTGGTCATATTTGTTCCCCAGATTACCTGAAGATTAGCCACCCCAGTATATTTAACTTGAAGATTAAACTACCCTTATGCTAACTTAACCAAATCTAAGTTAACTTAAACTAACCTAATATAATCTCACCTAACCTAACTCCCCAGGTAGCGTTGGTGTCAAATCTTCAGGTTGAAATAAGCTCTTGTAAAGGGACCTAAGCTATAAAGACAATTGGGACGATAATGGTGACGAAATTACATATAAATTCTAAGTAACTAACTAATTGAAGTGTCGCAAACAGATATTTGGTTAAGAGTTATAGAAATCAACGTCACCGGTATGAGTATAAACAAAATAAAAAAATAAAAACATAAGAAAAGAAGAAAAAAGTTCAAAAGTGAGGAAAGAAGAGAGAGGTGAGAGAAGGTTAGAGCTTATATAAATCATTATGCACACACACACACCACTACCACCACCACCACCAAATATCTCAGGATTTTGATATAACATACGACTGACCCACATCGGGGCCTGGGGGGCGAAAATGTAATAATAATAATAATAATAATAATAATAATAATAATAAATAAATAATTGTCATAATAATTCATAATAAATAAAATTTATGATAAAACAAACAAAAATAAAATAATAAAATAATGATAATAATACAGTAACTGTAATAATCATAATAATTTTAATAATAAAGAACTATAAATACAAAAATGAAAAAAAGATCAAAAGTGAGAAACGATATATGTATGTTGTGTTGTCAATGGTAAGAGAAACAATTGAGACCCTGCAATTGTGCGTAAATGAAGCAGAAAGTTAGATCAGCAACCTGGGACTTGGTCACATATGGCAGCAGGGTCTACCATTAGACAACACATTATGCTTCCAATATCTTCCCAGGCGGTGGTACCTCCCAGTTTGGTAGCAGCCTACTACCTCGAGAGGTCATCGTACACTGATCTCGCTGTTTCACCAGATATAAATTTCTTCAGTTTATTTCCAGGATGTTGCAACTCTTCGCACCACGTGGACGAAGATGTTTTCCCTCGTGTTCTTGGCGGAGGATTTTATTGACATTTTCTAACCCGCTTATGTGATGGATCCAGCAAAAGCCGTTGCTCCCAAATGATTCTTATTTAGGTTAGGTTAGATTAGGTTGCACTCTTGTGTTTGAGAAGGTTTGTTTGAGTCACCCTTGTTACCTCCTCTTAGCTAGTCCGACATCGACAGTTGGTAGAAGTTTACATCAACATAGATAGACTCTGGCGATAATTACGGTATTGATAATCTTAATTTAGTGTCCGTATACCACCACTACACATATTATGAACTCTACCACAATCCAAGATATGAAAAGTGTTTCAAAATACCTTCTGTAGATAAAACGACATTGGATTGGATTTTAAAAGGTGTACTGCCCGTCTTCTTGCCTGCAGCTTGGGTGTTGCTTAGAGAAAACCTGAGCGACTTAGGGGGAACTGTGATAAACTAGGACGGTATTGCAAAATTTCATCTACTACGGCCGGTACTCTACTACTACTACTACTACTACTACTACTACTACTACTACTACTACTACTACTACTACTAATAATAATAATAATAATAATAATAATAATAATAAAACAACAACACCAATAACAATAATAATAACAAGACCTCAACTATACAAACCCAACAAGAAACAACTTAATCATTATTTAATCAGGTGTTCCTCTACGCTAGGTAACATTTCAGTCGTGTTGCTGCAAACTTAGGTAGAACGGACGGACAGACGGATGGACGGACAGACGGACAGACGGATGGATGGATGGATGGATGGACGGACGGACGGACGCAGGAAATGAGGGAAAGTTGCCACACTAATTTTTCTCACGATGGATAGGGAACGGTAAAATAAATAAATAAATCAAATGAACATCAAAGGTCAAAAGAAGGAAAGAGGAGGAAAAATAAATAGAAAAGAAAAAGAAAAAGCGAAGAACAGATTAATAAAAAAAAATTAAAAACTTAAATAAAAAACAAATATGAATTAATAGATAAATAAAAATAAAAAATTAAACAAAGAAAAAATTACGAATAAAACAAAGATAAAAGATGATAATACAAGGTCGGGGAGCGTCTTATGAAACACCAGGTGTGGGAAGGGGGGAGGGGGGAGGGGAGGAAGACGGGAGTGGACAGGGAAAGGAACACATTGCCAACCAGACATCGCACCAACCCCACGTCTCTATATTAACATTCTACCCCCGTACTCACCCACCCTTTGAGGACGATGGAACATAGGTAAATTTAGTTGATGAACCTTAAGTGCCATTTGGTTAGAACAGGATTGGTTGAGTTAGGTTGAGTAAGGTTCATTTAGGTTAGTTTACCTTAAGATTAACCACCCTAACCTAACTTAACCTAACCCAACTTAACCTAACCTAACTTAACAAATAATTTTTCACGAAGGTATGATGTTGTCTTGGCTGTTGACACTATGTTCGTTCATCTGGCAGCTATACCGTAAGTGCTTGGCGACCTAGAGAGGCGGTAGGGAACGCCAGGTGCTAAATGAATGCTTATGGTGGCTGCCATTTCTTCTTGGCCAGCGACATTATTTCTGTGTTTTATCCTTGCTCACCGGTGCTAAGTCCCTCCAACACACACACACACACACACACACAACGTATATCTCATCCAAACTACCCGACAATTTCATGGAATAATTAAAGCGAAATCAATCTTTAGCTGGGCATGAATCTGAATAGTTTTGCTCTCTACCTAGGTCAAAGGTCACGGTGTATTTGATGACAGTCATGACATTTTTTTATGGTGGGGTCACTATATATATCACAACAGCCACGAATTCTGTGCCAAAGTTAAGGTGTCACCGTAATCACGACCTCAGTGCCAGGGTAAATGTGCCATGACCTCAGTGCCAAGGTAAATGTGCCATGACCTATGACCTCAGTGCCAGGGTAAATATGTCATGACCTCAGTGACTCTAAGTTTACATCATCATAAGTAATATGTCTCAATATAAGTAACTTCCCAATATAAGTAACATGTCCCAATATATATATACGTAACGTCCCAAATTAAATAAAATATCCAAATATAAAGTAACATGGGTCATATTAGGACATAGTACTTATACGGGAATGTTAGGTTATGTTAGGTTAGGTTAGGTTAGGTTAAGTTAGGTTAGGTTAGAGTGTTTTGTCATCACTTAACCCGTTCATCTCATACCCAGGATACGAGACTTTAAATTATATGTTAAATATCCCCGAATTGTAACTTAACCTAACCTAACTTAACCTAACCTAACCCAAAACAAACCATACCAAACCTAACCTAACCTAACTTAACCTAACCCAAACCAAACCTAACCCAAACCAAACCAAACCTAACCTAACCACTGGCCAAGATACTGTTTCCTTTCGCTACAGAAGATCAACTCAAAGAAACATACAATAAACTACACGAGGCTGAGTGGTGTTCTCCTCCGCTCATGAAACAAACTCGATTGTTTTGCTTCTGTGAGTAAACAAAATTCTGTTGCCAAATTCATAAATTCTTCATCACGTCGCTGGCACAACCTTCCGGAGTCTGTTGTGTTTGTGTTTCTTTGTGTGTGTGTGTGTGTGTTTGTTTGTTTGTTTGTTTGTTTGTTTGTTTGTGTGTGTGTGCGTGTGTGTGTTTGTAGTGCTCAAGTGGTAGCGTGGTAGTGGTGGTGGTGGTAGTAGTAGTAGTGTGGTGTCGATGGTGGTAATAGTGGTGGTTGTAGTGTGGTGGCGGTGGTGGTGGTAGTAGTAGTGGCGGTGGTGGTAGTGGTGGTGGTAGTGGCGGTGGTGGTAGTAGTGGTGGTAGTGTGGTGGTGGTGGTGGTAGTAGTGGTGGCAGTGGTGGTAGTGTGTGGTGGTGGTGGTGGTAGTGTGGGTGGCGGTGGTGGTAGTGGTGAGTGGTGGCAAGTGGGTAGAAGTTGGCGGTGGTGGTGTGGTGGTGGCAGTAGTCGAATTGGTGGTAGTTAGTGGTGGCGGTGGGTAGTAGTGTGGTGGTAGTAGTGGTGGTGGTAGTGTGGTGGCGGTGGTGGTGGAAAAGGTCAAACAAAAGACAACCAAGAATTAAACAACGTCAGCGTGGGATGGTCAAAAAGTTCCCTTGAGTCAGGCAGTCAGTTCGCCAGGGTGGGCATTCAGAGGAGTGACTGACGTTGGAAAAAGGCGTGTCAATGAGGGACGTGGCTTGGAGGTAGTGAGGGTGTGGTGTAACTTAAGAGAGAGAGAGAGAGAGAGAGAGAGAGACACCTCATATCACCATCGCACAGCCAAAACAACTTCTAAAGACGCTAACTAGAGAACTATTTCAGGACCCCACAGCTCAAACGAAGAAAAAAACAAACTCACTCCATAAAACAAATAAAATACCCAGTTAAAATAGGTTTAAATATTGCCACAGGTGAGACAACCTACCGGGCAGATGGTTCAATAAGGCAGCGACATCTATGAGGGGGATGTATTGTTTTGGTTTTGGGTTGAGTACCCTTGGTGGGGAGTGACGGAGTAGTCACGTTGGTGGGGCGCGACGTAGTCACGTTGGTGGGGAGTGACGGAGTATTCACGTTGGTGGGGCGTGACGGAATAGTCACGTTGATGGGGCGTGACGGAGCAGTCACGTTGATGGGGCGTGACGGAGTAGTCACGTTGGTGGGGCGTGACGGAGTAGTCACGTTGGTGGGGCGACGGAGACGGAGCCACACATTGAACAGGGGCGGCAAAGATGATCACGTTGGTGAAGTGACGGAGTAGTCACGTTGGTGGGGCGTGACGGGTAGTCACGTTGGTGGGGGAGCGAACAGATGTGAATCGTTGGTGGGGCGTGACAGGTAGTCACGTTGGTGGGGTGACAGGTAGTCATGTTGGTGCTGGGGCGTGAAGGGCGGTACGTTGGTGGGGCGTGACGGAGTAGTCACGTGGTGGGGCGTGACGGAGTAGTCACGTTGGTGGGGCGTGACGGAGTAGTCACGTTGGTGGGGGTGACAGATGTGAGTCACGTTAATTGGGGCGTATTGGAGCAGTCCTCACGTTGATGGGGCGTGACCAGGAGTAGTGCGTTGAAATTGGGGAACGTGACGGAGTAGTCACGTTGGTGAGGAAGTGACAGGTAGTCACGTTGGTGGGGAAGTGACGGAGTAGTCACGTTGGTGGGGAGTGACAGGTAGTCGTTGATGGGGAGTGGCAGGTAGTCACGTTGATGGTGCGTGACAGGTGATCACGTTGGTGGGGCTTGTGGCAAAGATAGTCACGTTAATTGGGGAGTAACCAAGATGTAGATCACGTTGGTGGAGCGTGACAGATAGTCACGTTGAATTGAGGGCAATGACAGATGAGGTCACGTTGGTAAGGGGAAGTGACGGAGTAGTCACGTTGGTGGGGCGTGACGGAGTAGTCACGTTGGTGGGGCGTGACGGAGTAGTCACGTTGGTGGGGAGTGACGGAGTAGTCACGTTGGTGGGGCGTGACGGAGTAGTCACGTTGGTGGGGAGTGACGGAGTAGTCACGTTGGTGGCGAGTGACGGAGTAGTCACGTTGGTGGCGAGTGACGGAGTAGTCACGTTGGTGGGGCGTGACGGAGTAGTGCCCATGTTAACGGCAGTCAACTCCGTTACACTCGCTGAGGGTTTACCCTGGTGTAGGATACCAGAGTTGGCCTTCAAGTCCACCATCGAATAACTGGTCTTGTTGATGGCGTCAGAGGACGAGCTCTCGCGTCCCCCCAACACAGCCCCCAACACCACCCCCAACACCAATAATTTGGACATGGTTAAATTTACAAACAAAATTTTGATTTTTTTTGGCCAAAGTTTCGAAAGAAATTTTAATTCATGTATTGGTTAAGTAACGTAGTTAGATGTAGATATGACGTCAATTGACTATATGTTGTCCTCCCCGAGAGTCATATACTCCCTGCAACAAATATATGAACAATAAAAAAATTAAATAGCAAATTTTATGACAAGGAATGGCGAATGTTTACCCTGGCAAGCGTGTGAGAGTTGGAGATTGGTTGGTTGAGTGCCAAACGCGGTGACACACACACACACACACACACACACACACACACATATATATGACCTATGTTTTGGTTAAATACCGTAGGTTATATGCAAGAGTGAACCCAAAATAATGGTCGTTGGAATTGTTTATATACTGCCGTGTGTGTGTGTGTGTGTGTGTGTGTGTGTGTGTGTGTGTGTGTGTGTGTGTGTGTGTGTGTGTGTGTTTCTCTTTCCGGATATATAATTTTACCCCTGACCTAATCACAGTAAAATTTGGCTGCGGCTCTGTTATACTGTATACCTTATATGTGTCAGCTTCTGTAAGTCACATAGCCAGATATATCGACACACAACTGACAGCTTTCGTGACGTCATGTTTATTTCGCACTTCATGGATCACATGAAGATTAGGCACCCCAGCATAATTCACTTGATGATTAAGCACCTAACCTAACCTAACCAAACCTCCCCAGGTACCGTTAGTGTTTTTACTTATCAGGTAAAATAAGCTGGGGTGTCTAATCTTCACGTGCTCTTTACTTCTCATGATACTGTTCATCTTTCCTATAAGAAGGACACACGGGGGAAATTATATACCAGATTACTGTAATATTTTGTATATAACTTTACGGATATGCTATAACAGAAATATGTACCAGTCAATTTTTCCCCGGGAGTGAGTGAGTGAGTGAGTGTAATGCTTGTGTGTAATTCGTCACCATCGTCAACACCTCCAAACAAAACACAACGAAACCTAATTTAAGCCTCAACACACCTCGCCAGCACAAGATTTCAATACAGTAATAAAAATAAAAAAACCGAAAGCCTGCAGTCAGATGGAAGGAGCCTTGGCAGTGGTGGCACTTACCGATGGCGAGGGAGATGGCGTAACCAAATGGCGCCTGGCACCAGATGAGGCCCTTGTCAAAGACCTTCTCCGCCGCACCGTTGATGTAGCCGCCCCCAACCCACGTCGCTGTAAACATGGACGCTCAAGTTAGTGCTAAGACGATTATTAGGGAGAAGGTAGTAAATGAGAGAGAGAGAGAGAGAGAGAGCACAAAATAAATTATTACCTGCATTTACCTAAGTATCTTCAGCAGAGACAAACTTAGTGGACATTAATAACCTCTGCCCCCTTCACCTTCCCCTACTAACCTTCCTGCAACACACACACACACACAACAGATACCTGTCCTTAACTCGCAGAAATTCACTTCCGTAGAGTGACGAAACAGTATGGAATAAAAATAAAAATACAAGGTGTCCATATTGAAATGAAACAACTTTGAAACCTTATATATTTTTTTTACTGATTAATACAAACAGGAGAATATTCACATAGCTGATAATATACTTGAGTTTCATTTGGTGTATGGGAATATTTTACTCTGGTATATAAGGATATGTTAGGTGGGCAGACGTTCAATACACACACCATTTATAGACGGACTAAGTCACCACGGAACTCAATTTTCCCTCCACACATTCTTTAACATCTCGAGGGATACTGGGGCCACCGCCGCTGTGATAAGCTCTCTCAGCTCAACAGTGTCCAGCACGTTTCTCGGGTAGACTTTGGACTTTCATGTCGCTGGCTGGGTAAAGGCGGTCACGTTTCCTGGTCACCGAGATCGTCTGACCGTATCTCCGCTCGGTTTTTTTTCTCTTTGGGGTTATGTGAAGTGGGAGGAGTGGGGCGGGAAGACAAGGTGGGGGAGTGTATATTTCACTGTGAGTGTCTTAAGGATAGTAATAAGTGAGAGGTGTAGGAGATGTATACTTCACGGTGGGAGAGGAACAAGTTATAGGCTGGGAGAGTGTACATTTCACTGTTTCTTTAACTGCATCTGTGTTGTGGGCGTTACTTGGCACCGACCTCTGCACTCGGTAAGTCGGCGCCAGTCTGGCTTGGCACCCAGCACTGCACGAGTCTCGCAGGCAGCGTGAGAAGGGGATAGTGAATAAGTCGGCGGAATGGGCACGGGTTCAGGGGGGCAGGATATAGTAAACTGGTGGGGAGGGCAGAGAGGAAGGACAGCTTGGCACGGGGCAACATGGCAGGGGGCACGGGGTAACACGACAGGGGGCAGCGTGGCATGGGGGCAGTGTGGCATGGGGGCAGCGTGGCATGGGGGCAGTGTGGCATTAGGAACAGGAGAAAAGAGAACAAGGAAAAAAGACAGTTTGGTATAGGCAGAGGGGCAGGGCAGTAAGTTCTATTAGTAATGAATATCTTCAACTTATTCCCAAACATCCAGACAAAAAAGGAACACAATCCATCCAACATCAACCTGTGAGTGATGTTTGACGCCAGGCCAACATCATTGACGCTCAGTGTGTATCAGGCTCGAGGGAGCAAGAGTGGGGTGAGGAGGGTGCTGCCGTCACCACATGAGCAGATGTGACAAAACACACACACACACAGGAGAGATTTTCAATGTTTGCACTGACTCGGAAATATCTCAGGGGAAGCAGAAACAGAATGAATTGAAATTAAAATCTGAAATTGAAGTATGCCGAAGATTTAACCTTTAAGGAAGACCTCGGGGGTTCATAAAGGTATTAAGAGGAATATAAAATACAGATATAATAAAAAATAAATAAGGGAGGTATTTAGGAGAGAGCGGTAGTTCAGGAGGCTGTATGAGTCAAGGTATGAGGAGGTGAGAGGAAAGTGAAGGGAGGGGGGAGGTGGTCGGCCCTCTTGGCGCCACGGTCTTCAGGCGTCATCATTGGCATGACAACCTCTCACATGACGAAGACCAATTTGTCTCTCTCAGATCCAATCGTTTGTGTTATTTTAATTGTTATTTATTTTAGCAGAACACGGATGAGGGGAACAATAAGCCACATATATGTGTAGGGCCAGACCAGTGGAGCCCCTAGACGCCATGGCTGTGTGGCCCCTAGACGCCATGGCTGTGGGGCCCCTCCTCTTAGTTTTCAAAGTACTTATGTTATTATAGTAAACAACAAAAAAGTTTGTTGTTTTGTAATTTTAAGCACGTTTATAAATCAATAACAAATATCATGATACTAAGACATGTTTACTGTTTTATTATTTACAGAATATTATGTTTGAGGACCCCTTCACCTTAGTGGCCCCGAGACACGTGCTTACTGTGTCTAATGGGTAATTTGTCACTCCCCCCCCCCAAAAAAAAAGCGTAGCAAGCACGAGTGTGTGAGTGTGCGAAGTAATCATCTGATGGGTGGGGGACAGGGGAGGCGAGGCAGAGGGCTGCAGGGAGGCAGGGCATGGCAGGTGGGTGGGGGGGTATAAGTAAAGCTTCCAAGATTTACAACGAAAAACAACAACATTAATTTGGGCGTCTATTTCTAACTTGTTTTTTTTATAGGGAAGGATCACCGCGTTCGGGGAAACACCAAAGACAATACTCAAAACTTAAGAAAACAGATTCTAAGAACGCAATTCGAGTCGAGTGAGATTTTTAGCTCTTAATCATGAGAAACCAAGTGTAACACAAAATCAACAAGTGTTTTCCACCCATTCTAGACATAATATATATACACTGACGCTTAGATTTTAACGAATAATAATCTTAGCTGCTTCTGTGATGTGTCGTGGAGTTAAATTAAGGTCACACGGATCAAACAGTGAACTCGTCATCAGGTACTAAGACAAGGTCACGTCGTTTTGGCTGACAACTCCATGACCTTGTGTGTGTCTTCCGTGGATCAGAAATGTTGACGTGAACATCTCTGAATATTGTCACCCTTACTCTTGTTTGTTTTCTGACAGTGACATTACAGTGACGACCTGACTTAATGACGCAGTGATACAAGGGATTTATATATGCTATAATTATATACATTAAGAACATAATATAATTAATTCGATGGTTAATATCCCAAATTAGATGTGTACATAATGTCCTCAATAATAAGGACATTCTAGTCACTTATACCTTACAAAATTTTTGACCAAAAATATACTTTTTTCTCAGAATTGAAATTTAAGGGGTTTAACTAATTAAGTACTTTCAGAATAACACACAAACCCTAAATCACACCTTGGAAACCCATAGTTGATGAGTAATTAGCATTGAAAAATGTCAGTAAAATATTTCAAGGGTCATTTTGGTCACTAATTACTCTGCAATCGAATCGTGGACCACATATTCATAATCAGCAAGCTCAGGAGTACCCATACTGTGATTTTCAGCAAAATCTAATTTTTGGCCCAAAACCACCAAAACTGTAAGTCTTACAGTATCTAGTGGGTAAATCGCATTTCAGAGTGATGGTGTGTGCAGTAAGATGAGTCTAATTCAGAATTCTAAAATAGACGTCTGCCAATGGATCAGGATTCTCAAGGGTTCACACGACGATTATTTCTCGTGAGTAAAGAATACACGTAAGTGATTGACTTAAGAGAAAAAAAAAATCCCACTGAGACTAACTCTCTACCTTTACTATTTACCTTCACTGAATACCAACAGAGACCAAATTTCGACCACGTTTTTCTGATGCTAAATGAAATTATGTAAATTAAGTTAAAATTTCCAGGTTATTTACGTGTTTTGCTTTGAGTAAATAAGTTAGGTATTCTCTTACTATTTTTTAATGAAGTAAGATCTTGGACTCAATAATAAACATGAAGGAATCAGCCATATAGTTCACAAACAATTAATATTCTTAATGGATCATCTTAGTATTGGTCTAAAATAGTTAGTGGATTAAACGGAGAGGAATTCATTTTTTTTAGAAGCGACATAGAAGTCAATTGCATTTCAGAAGAGGTTGAATAGATGCAACGACACCAGCGGCTAGAACACACTCAGACATGGGTGTGTTTACATGACGTGAAAGGTATAAGCTGTATGGTGGCGCTCATATCTTCTCCCTTCCTTGTCACTCCTCCAGGAAATTCTTGTGGCCCGTCCAAACCCTTCCCTGCCAAGCATACGCCTTCTCTATCACACCCACACCTTCTCTATCACACCCACACCTTCCCTATCACACCCACACCTTCCCTATCACACCCACCCCTTCCCTATCACACCCACACCTTCCCTATCACACCCACACCTTCCCTATCACACCCACACCTTCCCTATCACACCCACACCTTCCCTATCACACCCACACCTTCCCTATCACACCCACACCTTCCTTACCACACCCTCCCTCTCCCACCCTGCTTCACTGACCACACTTGTACCCTTAATCACCCCACTTTAATCATTTCCGCTGAATCATTATCCATCAACATCCTTTCACACCCATAATTCCATCCTCTTACCCCCGCACACATTTCCGTCCTCTCAAACAGGTAGTTTTCCGTTTGTTTTCCTTTTAATTTACCAGTTGTCTTCACCCACTGTACGTTATCCTTATTCCAGAGAGAAAGAGTGTGTGTGTGTGTGTGTGTACATTACGTTCATCGAATCATAACACGGGAGGCGTCTCAGGTGATAAACAGCAGGTGATGATAATGGAGTATGATGAGTCTTCAGGTGAGCAGACAGTGGATTACCTCATTAACATTCCTCTATTATCTCGGCTACTCCACCATCTCCACCAGTACCACACACCCAGCACCAACATCAACACCACCACCACTAATACCACCACCATCACCACTTGGATTATCAGACTCTTATCGTTGTAATTTATTATTCTTTAGCTACAGGATAAGTAAAGCATAATGATATCCAAAAATCTCAAGCTCCGCATTGTTGACATTTTGGCCACCATTATCCCATCACATGAGAAGCGAGTCTTCAAGATGCTTCCACATGAGTCACTTCCTCCACTCCGGGAAAACATTTGGGGAAATTTCAACCTAACACATCGCATTTTCCTCGCGTCGTAGTGGGTATACTAAAAATGGACGGGAGGAGGAGGTGGCAAAGGTAAAGAAGGAGGGAGAAGAAGAGGAGGTAGAGGAGGAGAAAGAGGTAGTGGGGAACTTATCGATGACGCAAAATAGCTTCTCTCTCGAAGGTT